AAATCCTTTCCCAGAAGTCTTTTACCTTGGGGCATGTCCACCACATGTGGTAAAAGGTTCCTTCTTTTTCTTTACATTTCCAGCATTTATTATCGTGAGTATGATACATTTTTGCTAACTTCACTGGTGTTAAATACCGTCTATACATCATTTTCATCAACTTTTCTCTTAATACATTACAGTGGTACCTCAGGTTAAGGACTTAATTCGTCCCAGAGGTCTGTACTTAACCTGAAACTGTTCTTAACCTGAAGCACCATTTTAGCTAATTGGGCATCCTGCTGCTGCCGCTCCGCCGGAGCACGATTTCTGTTTTCATCCTGAAGCAAAGTTCTAAACCTGAAGCACTATTTCTGGGATAGCGGAGTCTGTGACCTGAAGCGTATGTAACCTGAGGTACCACTGTACAAGCTGTAAATTTGATTCTTTTTTTCCACAGTTTCTCCCAATCCACCATCATGATATTGTGCCCCACATCCCTGGCCCATTCAGTCATTACAGATTTCACTTGCTCATCTTTCGTATACCATTCCAGCTATAATTTATACATCTTAGATAGGTTTTTTTGTTTTTGTATCTAATAATTCCGTTTCCAGTTTGGATTTCTCTATTTGAAAACCCATTTTCCTATCCATTTTGAACACTTCATTTTTCTGTATGCACTGGAACCTGCCATTTTACAGCTGCAGTTGCATAGATATGTTTTGCATTGTTGATAACAAAAGTGGAGGCAGTAGAACAATTCCCTCTTTTTGGTATGCCTTTAACCAAAAGAACCATCACCCTCTTGGGTGCAAGACAGACTATTATGGAGCAAATGGATTTGGGGACTGCTAGGCTGTCACTGTTTATGGGTGGGATTCAATCACGTGCCACCAAATTCAGATGGTACAATTAAAGACGATTTGGCAGCCTTGCACAGCAAGCTTGCTTCGCCACCCCAAATTGGACTTTTGTGGGTTTTTTAGTTTTAAAAAAATATATATATTGTCAACAATAAAATTATTCACATATTGATAATAAACAATACGTACCAATTGCTGCTGCATGTTATAATAAACCCATACCTTCTTTTCTCTGTTTATTCTCAATATCCCTTTTACTGCTGAATTTACTCTAAATCTACTAGCGATCTAACCTGTTTACAATAATTCTTTATATAGTCTACAAACATTTTCCAATCCTCCTCAAAGGCTGCTTCTTCTTGGTCTCTAATTCTACTGGTTGGGCTTGCTAATTCTGCATACTCCATCCGTTTCGACTGCCACTCCTCTTTCATGGGAACTGCCTACTCCTGCCATTTTTGAGCATATAGAATTTGGGTTGCAGTTGTTGTTGTTTAGTCATTTAGTCGTGTCTGACTCTTCGTGACCCCATGGACCAGAGCACGCCAGGCACTCCTGTCTTCCACTGCCTCCCGCAGTTTGGTCAGACTCATGCTGGTAGCTTCGAGAACACTGTCCAACCATCTCATCCTCTGTCGTCCCCTTCTCCTTGTCCCCTCCATCTTTCCCAACATCAGGGTCTTTTCCAGGGAGTCTTCTCTTCTAGTGAGGTGGCCAAAGTATTGGTCGGGCTGCAGTAGTTGCATACAAAAACTAATTCCTTTGGTTCTTTAATACATCTGACTCAATTATTCCTAGAAAACTCTGTGACACAGAAATTGATAGGAAAGTTGTTTAGCTATACTGAAGCTTTTGGGTAAAAGAGTATTGGGAAATAATTCATAATGAATTGAAAAAAAAGTTTAAAAGCTCTTTTCCAAGTGCTTTTTAGCCTGCAGACCTAACATATAGAATAGAAGAACAAGAAGAACATACGTTTAGAGAAGATTGGAAAATGTTTATTGAATATATGGGGGGAAATTGTGCACACTGGAAAATGTTGGCAGCATTAAGATAAATTCAACAGGGTAAATAAGTTTTGATGGGTGTAATAATAGAATACCGAATGGTTTAGTTTATGTAAAATATGCAGGGATTTATGGTATGCAAAATGAACCATGGAAAGAAAAGAAGGGAAGTCACTGATAACTTAAGGATCTAAATTGTATCTAAATTGTAAAACGGAAAATTTAAGTGTGTGTGGGGGCGGGCTATTTTTAAGGAAATTTACCTTAATCTACACTTCCAGCATGGGTTGCCATAGGTCTGGATTTTCCAGGACATTTCTGTGATTTCCACCCAGACACTGTTTCTGAGAGTGATTTCATTTACCAAGTGACCTTTAGTATGAGAACATGGATGTGTGAGCACGTTTGCATTTTCATCTATGAAATGTTGGAAGGAATGGGGACACTTGTCTGAGGGCACTGGCAGATGACCTAGCCAGTTGACTTGTCTGCAAGGAGATTTAACTGATGTTGCATCAAGCAGGCATTCTCCCCTACTTCATAGTGAATTTCCCTCCAGCTTTCCTCTATGCCAAAAGTCTAGTTTTAGAGGGAAAGCAGGTTTCTGAATTGTTTACGGGAGGGTTAGGTGACGTCATGTCACAGCAACTGCTATCACACACTTTTCTTTGCCACTTTCCTTTTTGCAAAGTATCGGGTTGTGGCAATCACACAGGGTCCCCGGACGTTTAACGGTCTATTGATCCATGTGCCACCACTCTGCTCGCTTCCCTGCTGCCACCAACCAGTTTGTTGTTGTTTAGTCGTTTAGTTGTGTGTGACCCCATGGACCAGAGCACGCCAGGCACTCCTGTCTTCCACTGCCTCCCGCAGTTTGGTCAAACTCATGCTTCGAGAACACTGTCCAGCCATCTTGTCCTCTGTCCTCCCCTTCTCCTTGTGCCCTCCATCTTTCCCAACATCAGAGTCTTTTCCAGGGAGTCTTCTCTTCTCATGAGGTGGCTAAAGTATTGGAGCCTCAGCTTCAGGATCTGTCCTTCCAGTGAGCACTCAGGGCTGATTTCCTTCAGAATGGAGAGGTTTGATCTTCTTGCAGTCCATGGGACTCTCAAGAGTCTCCTCCAGTACCAGCCAACCAGTTACTCTCTGGTAAAACACTGTAAGCTTTTTTTGTTTTTTGTTTTTGTTCACTTTTAACAACTGACTGGACTCAGTGTTTTACCAACACTGAGTCCAGTCAGTTGTTAAAAGTGAACCAAAAACAAGTTTATTTTACAAACATTAACAAGTTTATGGTTTCTCAGATAATACAGTCATACCTCAGGTTGAAGTAGCTTCAAGTTAAGTATTTTCGGGTTGCGCTCCACGGTTGCTTCTGGGTTTCGCCGCTTGCGCATGCGCAGACGCTCCAAATGACATCACGTGCATGCGCGGAAGCGGCGAAACGCAACCCGCACACGCATCTTACGTTTACTTCAGGATGCAAATAGGGCTCCGGAACGGATCCTGTTCATATCCATAGGTAGCACTGTATTCCTGTCAGTATCTTAACTTTAGTTTCTTTACCGGCCTATACCTTCCTAATACCTTCTGACTGATTATCTCAACTGACTCCTCTTAACAAATTCTCTCACTCTCTCCCACCAGACTAGCCCAGCCCACAGACTTTTCTTATCTGTCTCTTCTAACTCCAGACTGACTTCTCAACAACTCTAACTCTCTAAAAAAAACCACACCTCTGTGCTTAAACCTTATACACAGTTAACTCTGCCCCCTGGGTTCCCATTGGTTAGTCATTTTACAATTAGTTAACCCTTTCCCTATGAACCCAGTACGATGTCAGACACATAGGAGGGCAAACGCCACACGGGTCTTTGGGGGTAGCAGGTTTGTTGCACAAGACCTCTCGGTCCACTATAATTGCTCCAGCTGAATTTGCAGGTATGCGGTTGTATCCCATCTGCAAATAGTAACATCCTGGAAGCACCAAAGCAGAGCAATAGGGCACACATGTATGCACACACACACACGGAACAAAATAAAGAAAGAAACAAAAATGGTCTCATCTGAGTACAAGCATCTGGCAATAGCCAAAAGCAGCCAGGGTGACAATGGGAGTACAAGGACGAAATAAGTCCTTGCCAACACCCAGCTATCCTTGGGCAGGTTGGTGCAGTTAATGTGAGATTTCAAGCCCTGCAATATTTGTTGCTTTGTGGTAAATGGAGTAATAATTCCATCTGGGATGGTTTTACGATTCAGCAAAGGCCACTTGGGGGCTAGGATGATTCCCACTCGCGCCTTCTGCAGACGCCACCAGCAAACGACACACTACATGCACATTAAATCAAGACTGATGCTCAGCAGTGCAGACAAAACCCTGAGAAAAAGAGTGCGCACAGCTGAGTCTCATTCTTCTTCTCTGTTTCTTCTTCAGAAAAGCATCCTCTTGCACTTTTTCTCTTCAGCTTCCTTCCCCCCCCCCTCCATTTGGTCCAATACCTGTGGCATTTCAAAGCTTTAACAACAACAAAACTATTAGAAGAAAAGCTTAAACACTGACTGTACTGCCAGGGATTCTTAGACGCTCTCCCTAGAGCCCTATGTAGAAATCACGGTTCGCTTGCCCCCATGTACTGCAAGGTATTATATGAGCTGGGAAATAGAATCGTTGCTTTTCAAAGATATGGGAGAGCTTGGCAAGATAAGGGGAAGATATTGGCCTAAGATTCCTCAGGGCCAAATCCATGAAACCATTTGAGTGTCGGGCTAGAAGCTCACATTCCAGAGTCTGTCATTCACTCTGTATGGCCAGCCTACTACTACTACTACTACTACTACTACTACTACTACTACTACTATTACCCCGCCCATCTGGCTGGGTTGCCCCAGCCACTCTGGGCAGCTCCCACAGAATATTAAAAACATGATAAAACATCAAACATTAAAAACTTTCCTAAACAGGGCTGCCTTCAGATGTCTTCTAAAAGTCAGATAGTTGTTTATTTCCTTAACATCTGATGGGAGGGCATTCCACAGGACAGGTGCCACTACCGAGAAGGCCCTCTGCCTGGTTCCCTCGCTTCTCACAGACAGGGAACCACCCAAAGGCCCTTGGAGCTGAACCCCAATGTCCAGGCTGAACAATGTGGGTGGAGACGCTCCTTCAGGTATACTGGGCCGAGGCCGTTTAGGGCTTTGAATGTGCACATGTGTTGGGGGTGTTAACGGAAAAATCCGAGGGCTCCCTTGGACAAAAACAAAGACACCAACCAGGATAACTTGGAGCAAAACAGCAGCCTGTAGGCTTGGCCTTTATTGAACTGTTGCAACAGGGTGCTCCCCTCACTTGCAGGAGAGAGGAAAGACACAGAAAAAATGGTGTGTAAGGTCTTATAAAGACTTTTGAAATTCCCATCCTATAGATCAAGACCACCCCCAGAAACATCATACATACATCACAGAAAGGAGGGGTTGAGGGAGGAGTTGTGGTGGTAACCTGAGTGTCCTGTCACCTGGCTGGTTCCCCCCTTTCCCCGTCCCCATGAGTACTTTCCAGGTGACAGAGGGGAGTTTGCAGTTTCCTGCCCCCAGAGGGAAGAGCTGATTATTGTCCTTTGTTCCAGTCTGTGCTGAATCCACTCCCATATGCAAGTTCTTTGTGATCTTGATGGTCTTCTGTCTAGGACCATCAGGGTTGGCATAGCAACTGGGCAGGGCTCCTGTGGATGTGCTGGTATGCTGAAGGGATTATGGCTGCCCTGTATCAAACCTTCCCCATTTTGTAGTCCTTCCTTCATGGAGTAAAATAAAAGTGGAACAGTGCAAATCCGATGTATGGTTGATTTTCTATGAATTTAAAACAGAAGTGTAGCATATGTAGTGTGTGAGTGTGAGTGTGTGTGAAGTTTGTACAAACTGAATGATTGGGGGGGGGGGGTCCTGCTACAGGGGAGAGTGCATGGTCAGAATCAGGACCTGCCATCTTTCGATAGCTCCCAGGGCCTTGCATGGCACCTCTTTTTAATTCTCCCCTCCCCACCTGCATACCCTCCAACATTTTTCCAATGAAAATAGAGACATCCTAAGGAAAAGCAGAGGGACGCGGATGGCGCTGTGGGTTAAACCACAGAGCCTAGGACTTGCCGATCAGAAGGTCGGCGGTTTGAATCCCCGCGATGGGGTGAGCGCCCGTTGCTCGGTCCCTGCTCCTGCCAACCTAGCAGTTCAAAAGCACACCAGTGCAAGTAGATAAATAGGTACCGCTCCAGCGAGAAGGTAAACGGCGTTTCCGTGCGCTGCTCTGGTTCGCCAGAAGTGGCTTAGTCATGCTGGCCACATGACCTGGAAGCTGTACGCCAGCTCCCTCGGCCAATAAAGCGAGATGAGCGCCGCAACCCCAGAGTCTGCCATGACTGTACCTAATGGTCAGGGGTCCCTTTACCTTTAAGGAAAAGCAGGGCATTGTGGGATCAAATCAGAAACCAGGATGGCTTCTGTAAGATTGGGACTGTCCCTGGAAAATAGGGATTCTTGGAGGGTCTTCACCCAGCTCACTACTCCAAGCAGCAGTAGACAGCTGTCACAATGCCTAAATGTTTGAAGCTATATTGCATGCAATGGTATTTAGTATAATAGCAAGCAATACAATAATAATTATCTTTAATAGTTGACACACAATGAGATTAGTCCCTGACTGGCTGTGATGCAACGACAGGGAAAGTGGCTACATGCTTCGTTGGAACACATTGGCAAAACATGTCTTATTAGATCCTCCGGCCGACTCCCGTTTTTAATTGGCTTTGATTAACCATATGTGCCAGGCCTCTGTGTTTTGTTTTCATTCGGGACTTTTCCAGACAACTGCTTTAATTTGCAAGAAAGAAAGAAAAGGGGGGAAAGAAAGTGTTGTTCAAAGTGATCCAATTGCTATTGCCTGAGATCACAGAACCATCAAATTGTAGTGTTGGAAAGGACCCCATGGGTCATCTAGTCCAACCCGCTGCAATGCAGGAATCTTTTGCCCAATGTGGGGCTTGAACCCACAAACCTGAGATTAAGAGACTCATGCTCTGCCAACTGAGCTAATGTGGATGACTCCCAAACAAGGACAACCTGAAGGTGTCAAAACAGGCTGTTCTCCTGCTGAAGCAAATCTACCCTCACTACCCAGGCACTGACCTGGGGGTTTGTGCGACCCTAACTCTAACCAGGGGGAAGCAGGAAGGGTTCCTCCTCCTCCTCCTCCTCCTCCTCCTCCTCCTCCTTTTTCTTCTCCTTCTCCTTCTCCTTCTCCTTCTTCATTTTAAAGAGGTGGTTACCTGGTTACCTGGTAAAGTCCAGGGAAAACAAATGAGATTTGAGATGATGAATAATAGGCAATTATGGTTTGCATGCATGCATGGAACTGATCCATTGAATTAATTCTGCATCTGCCACCACCCACCCACAGGTTGGCTGGCGAAGGGGGGGGGACGCATCTGTTCCTTAGCCGAGGATGGATATGTACCAATTTACACTTAAAAGTTCCTGCTCTGGGGGGGGGGGGGGGACGGGACTGCAACAGTGCCTGGATCTGACACAGGATTGTTCCAGATGTTGACTGAACCACAGTAAAGGGGTTCCCCCCTCCTCTTTTCGAGGGGAGCAGGCTCATTCCAGATAAAATAACCGCGCAACTTCACCACCCATCCACTCACACTGACGCTGCGGTCCTGGCATGTTACTGGCCAAGCATGAAACCAGCAAAAGGGATTTGCCTCTTCCCGCGGAGCACTCGAATGATTATAAACATCGGCACGGAATCAAGTCAAAACTGGCTCTTAAAAAAAGAGAAAACCTTCCTAGATCTATGGGGATTAGCGCAGGCTGGGATGCTCGCTTGGCTGCGCTGGGCCTGTCGCTGCGGTCCTCGGTCGGGTGGCTCCTGGCTAAGCAGCATTGGGGCTCATTAACACAGGATTTTCCTCACCTCTGCCTAAGCACAAGCCTTTCTAATAGCCCCTTGGGTTAAGCTTCCAGACATCCAATAAAGCGCTTCTCACTTGCGGCTCAGAAGAAGCGGGTACCGTCCTCTGTCTGGAAGGGAAATAGCTCAGCTGGAAGAGTCATCCAGCACTGAGCCCTTCTTGATCTACAAAGGTAGTCACAGTAGGCTGTTGTGGAAAACAAAGACTCTTATTGTTGTTGTTTTCTATAATTCTTATTAAATTTTCTGTTTTCCGTTTTGGAATATTCATTTAAACAACCTAAAAATACCAGTGACTTCCCTTCTTCCCTTTCTGTGGTTCATTTTGCATAATATAAATCCCTGCATGTTTTCTATAAACTAAACCATTCAGTATTCCATGATTACATCCATCAAAAACTTATTTACACTGTTGAATTTACCTTAATGCTGCCCATGTTTTTGAATGGACACAATTCCCCCCCGAATAGTCAATAAACATTTCCCAATCTTCTTTAAACGTATGTTCTTCTTGTTCTCTTATTCTATATGTTAGGTCCGTAAGCTGCGTCTATTCCAGCAGTTTAAGTTGCCATTCTTCTTTAGATGGGACTCATTTTCCATTTTGGGGCTAACAAAACTTGAGCCGCATTAGTGGCATACATAAATAACCTTTTCTGACATCTGGAAATTTCTGTTTGAATTATCCCCAACAAAAAGGACTCTGGTTTTGTGTGTGTGTGTTTTTGAAAAGTGTTTTTAAACATTCTTTTTCAATTCATTATGAGTTATTTCCCAATACTCTTTTACCCTTTTACAGGTCTACCACACATGATAGAACGTACCATCAGTTTCATTGCATATCCAGCACTTATCTGATTCAGTCTTTTCCATCTTAACAAGTCTACTCAGAGTTAGATAGCATCTGCAAATCATTTTCAGGTTGTTCTCCTTCGAGGAATAACATGCTGTAAACTTCAGCTCGCTCTTCCAAAGTTTTTCCTAGAAATTAAAATCTATATTATGTCCTATATCTATTGCCCAGTGTGTCATAGAGGCACAAAGACTCTTATTGTGCGACACCTCAAAGAAGAATTGCATACCCTCCAAGCGTCCCGGTTTTCCAGGGACAGTCCCAGAATTACGAAAGCCATCCTGGCTTCTGATTTGATCCCAGGATATCCCCATTTCCCCTGCCAGTGCTGTTCCTGCTGAGCTCGGGGAGGAGGGTGAACTGGAGCTTGTGTTCCAAGTTGTTAAATTGTAGGTGAACATATCAGACGACACAGCGATTCTTCAAACAGCTCTTGTTTATTCACAGGCCAGAACAGAACTGAACTGAAGGGTTCAGCCAGCCTGATTATATAGGGCTCCACTACAACGCAACAGTAACCACTTTCTGTAAATATCCAATCACTGAACGTCACTTTCAATCCCTTATTTGCATATGTGGACCCGAGTGAAAACTGTCTACAGTATCCCCCTGCTGGCCCAGGGTGAGAACTGCAGTACATAACACAAGTGGCGGCGGCAATGGAGCATCTCGTTGCCTCTCCATGGCTTCTCCATGGCCGCTGCTGGCGACCTCCCTGTTAAGCAAATCAGTCTCTTAAGCTTAAACCAAGAAATAGTATTCTCTATGAAACTTGATACGTATCAATATACGTATCAAGACTTTGAGATTAGACCACTGAAGAAGCCCGGGACACCACCTTGGGAGTGTGCTACCAGCAAGCCCCAGTAAAAGGCCCCATTGGGGGCAAACAGCGGCCTCTTGATTTCTTGGACTGCCAGGGCGAAACAGGTGCAAAACGCTGGCACCCTGTCTCACTAGCATCTCTCGGTATTGTGAACAACACCGAACTTACCTTTTGTTGGTATCGTCATGAACTTACCTAAAAAGATAAAGAAAACAAAAGACTGAGTTGAGCACTTGAAAAATCTATTGAAATCAGACATTGGAAGTTCATCTTAGGTTGGGTAGTTCGCAAGTCTCTATGGCTTTGCATAAGGTTTTGTAATTTCCTCAGGAGATTGATGAAGAATGTATAATCCTTTTGGTAATTATTGTGTGCATATTAGTCGCCAACGTGTTGCATGAGTCGTACTACGACCTTCCTGCTTTGGCAGGTGGGGAGGAGACAAGGATTCTACTGCCAAGGCCCAGCCTTTTGTGATGCACTGGCTCTGAGGGGCAGGCAGAGGGCAGGAAGAAAGGGGGAATAAAATGAAATAAAATCAGGACTGAGGGGTTTTCTCAGGGCGGTGGAGGGCATGTGTCCTGTGTCCTGTTGGCAAAGTGGCATTGACACTTGCTCTTCTCCTGATAGGAACTGTTCTGCAGGGGTGGGGTTGTTATAAGAATTTTAAGATCTTAAGGTAAAGGGACCCCTGACCGTTAGGTCCAGTCGTGACTGACTCTGGGGTTGCGGCGCTCATCTCGCTTTATTGGCCGAGGAAGCCGGCGTACAGCTTCCGGGTCATGTGGCCAGCATGACTAAGCCGCTTCTGGCGAACCAGAGCAGCGCACGGAAACGCCGTTTACCTTCCCGCCAGAGCGGTACCTATTTATCTACTTGCACTTTGACGTGCTTTCGAACTGCTAGGTTGGCAGGAGCAGGGACCGAGCAACGGGAACTCATCCCGTCACGGGGATTCGAACTGCTGACCTTCTGATTGGCAAGTCCTAGGCTCTGTGGTTTAACCCACAGTGCCACCCGTGCCCCTTTAAGGTCTTAGATATGCAATAAGTGTTCATAAATGTACCAAGCAAACATGTACATAAATATATAAACCACATGTCTGAAACCCCACAGAAAAAAAGTCCTGAACAAATTGACCTCAAATATTTCTCTCCAAAGTCAAAGTCGGAACCCCCCCCCATTGTCTCTTTCCTCACAAATCCTGTCTTAAGGGCACATTTAAGATATGAATAGGGTGTGAGCCTGTGACCTGGCTCAGTAACTAAGTATTTATCATTACAAAAGACTGGCCAGGCTCCCCAGGCAATCTAATCAAGTGACCATTAAACGGGTAACCTGCCAGACAGGAGATAAACAACAACAGGAGATAAACAACGCACTCAGATTTCTGTTGTAGACCACCCTTTCTGTGATGTAGGTATGATGTGTCTGGGGGGTGGTCTTGAGCTACGCCCCTTCTGTGATGCATATATGATGTTTCTGGGGGTGGTCTTGAACTCCAGGGTAGGCAATTTAAAATGTCTATATTATGGTGGGCACACCTTTGTTCAAGGTCTTCCTCCTTCTCCTGCGTGTGTGTGTAGGGGGCACCCAGTTGCAACAATAAAGATCAGGCTTACTAGCTGCTTTGCTTCTCAGTATTCTCTGGTTGGCCTCTGTTATTTTCTCTGACTGATGGAGAACCTGCAAAGGATTCTACAAGGGCTCTTGTGTACCCCCATAAGGGAATAAGGGCAGATTTCCATTTATTACAGGGTGGGGGAATGAGGGGTCAAGGAGGGTCAGTTGGATGGGGCGTGAGAAACATCCCTATTTTCATCTGAGGAATGTCGCAGGGTGTGGGACTGTCTCATGGCAGAGGCAGGGAACCTGTGGCCTTCTAGGTGCTCCCGGACTGCAACGCCCATCATCCCTGACTACTGGCTATGCTAGCTGAGGCTGATGGGAGTTTGGTGTCCAACAACATATGAGATGAGATATATATTTTAAACTCAACGATCTGATTAAAAAAAAGAGATCATGCTCCACCTTAAGAGAAAATCTAGAAAAAATGGTATACCGGTGGTATATTACCCCGGTCAAATTGGCCAAAATGTATAAATTGAATAATAAAGCCTGCTGGAAATGTAAATCCAAAGAGGGGAATCTCTATCACATGTGGTGGGAGTGCGAAAAGATGAAAAAAATTGGGGATTCAATATAGGTAAAGGTACCCCTGCCCGTACGGGCCAGTCGTGACCGACTCTAGGGTTGCGCGTTCATCTCGCTCAAGAGGCCGGGAGCCGGCGCTGTCCGAAGACACTTCCGGGTCACGTGGCCAGCGTGACGAAGCTGCTCTGGCGAGCCAGCACCAGCGCAGTGCACGGAAACGCCGTTTACCTTCCCGCTATAAAGCGGTACCTATTTATCTACTTGCACTTAGGGGTGCTTTCGAACTGCTAGGTGGGCAGGAGCTGGGACCGGACGACGGGAGCTCACCCCACCGTGGGGATTCGAACCGCCAACCATACGATCGGCAAGTCCTAGGCACTGAGGTTTTACCCACAGCGCCACCCGCGTCCCTGGGATTCAATATATAATGAATTAAAAAAACTTCTCAAGTATACGTTTCCTAAAAACCCCGAAATCTTTTTATTAGGGATAATAGGGAAGGAAGTAAAAAAGGAAGATCATAAATTATTTCAATATGCTACTGCAGCAGTGAGAATACTCGTGGCTCAAAAATGGAAACTACAGGAGACTCCCACAGTAATGGAATGGCAGGCTAAATTTTTTGAATATACAGAATTAGCTAAAATGACATACAGAATAAGAGACCAAAAGGGGACAAAGTTTGATGAAGAATGGGGTAAATTATTGGCACATATAAGAACAAACTGTAGAAGCTTAAAAACTATGGCAGGGTTAACATAATTCCTGTGATGTGCATAGAAGGGGAATAAGAATCTACAGGAGGGGATATATCTCAAGAAAACCGAAGCAGGGAAGGAAGGAAGTCGAGGCGTGAGGACACGGAGTGTAAATATGATGATTTAAAATGTTGATTGTAAAAGGAAAAAAAAGAGATCATGATGCTGGTGCCCATACAGCCAGTTGGCATGGCAGAAGTCTTGAAGGCACAAGTGAGAGCAGGGATAAAAGCAAACTAAGGGGACCCGAGCTTCTACAGGGAAAGAAAGTGGAAGGAAAGGACAACAGGCCGTAGAGTAACACACAACAAGATTGCTATAAAGAGTGCAATTTCCCACTCTAATTCCCAACGGGGGATGATAGCTAGATTCCCATGCCCAAAGATGCCTCAATCTGGGGTGAAGAAGTGAGGTCTGATCTCTCAGACACTACAAATCTCATTAAAACCATTACACAAAGCAGCGCAAATAAGCCTCTGATTATCTTTTTTGCATCCTGTAGCTAACTCCCCGGAGATAACGAGCCAAGATGCTTCCTCCAGGCCGTATAATAATCACCCCAATTACTCCTGAGCAGTGGCTATTAAACTCACCGCAAGGCACAGATAATTAAACAGGTGCCCACATGCAGCTGGGAATGACCAGATTTATTACTCGGCTGGCCTAGAGGCCAGCGAAAAATGTGCTTCGGGGCACCTCTCCATAACACAGCTGATTTTCTTCCTCGCAGTTTTGCCACTAGACCGGCTGCTCCGATTACCACTTTGGTTTGCTTATTTGATTACGAGTGAATACCCGGTCAAGAAATTCACAGAGACATAGTACAGGACAAAGAGAAGGAGATTCCCTCTCTCCTTTCCCATCACTTCCAGGTTCTGTGAGAAACCCCACAGCAGCTTCCTTGTTTGACCTGGATACTCGACCCCCGACTCCCAAGTAGAGGAGCTGCAACAGTATCTGGCCATCAGCCTTTGGTGGAGCTAAAAGGGGTGTTGTGAAATTACCCATTTCGATTAGTTCCTGTGATGGCCTGGGATTCGGACTCTGAGGCTGAACCTGAGGAATCCCAGCCTGCACAGGAGTCCCCGCCTCCAGAACCAGCTGAGCCGGGGCTGGGGCTTGAGCCTGAAGGGTCTTCACCTGTGCTGGATCCTCAGGTGCAGGCATCAGCTGAGTCTGCTCTCGCTCCGGAGGTGATGGAGGACCCATTGCCTGCAGGTGCTCCACTTTCAGCCCCGTCAGGGGACGCTGAGGTTGCCTCTGGGTCTGGTAACCCTCCAGTCTCTCCTGAGCTGCAGAGGCTCAGGGCAGAGAGGCGGAGGGAACTAAGTTCCTGCGGGAGGTGTGCTCGCCTCCGGGCCAGGAGAGGCGAGACACCTGTGGACTGGGGCCGCCCTATGCCTCGGGGCAGATAAAAGCCAGCCAGCCCCAGTCCCAGTTTGCGGGAGCAACATTGTTGGTAGCCTGTTCCTGCCTGCACCCTGTCCTGCTCTTCTGCCAGAGTTCCTGACCTCACCTGGCTCCCTGCCTTGGACCCAGTTTCAGCTTTGACGGACAGCCTCCATACCACACCCTTGACCTTGGACTGGACTTGGACCTTGCCGCATGGTTAACCCTCAGGACTAGCGCAGTCCCGGAGGTTCTATGCTTTCAAGCAGGGGTACCAAGTTCTGCCTGATATTGGGGAGGCCTCATCGCATGTGCATGACGTCACACATGCAACACGCATGTGTGACATCTCAGGCATCAGGAGTATGCTGCAAGGCCCTCCACCACTATGAGGAGGCCCAATGAGGCCGGGTCCCTCAGCACTGGGGGGGCTCAGCCCTGTCCCCACATACTTGGGTAGGGGGCTGAGCTGTCCTCAGCCCGATCTATAACGAAATGAAAAAGGTATTTAAATATACCTTTCTGAAGAAACCAGAGGCCTTTCTCCTGGGCATGGTTGGCCAATCGGTGCCAAAGAAGGATAGAACTTTTTTTATGTATGCAACAACAGCAGCAAGAATACTCATCGCGAAGTATTGGAAGACACAAGATTTACCCACTCTGGAAGAATGGCAGATGAAGTTGATGGACTATATGGAACTGGCGGAAATGACTGGCAGAATCCGAGACCAGGGAGAAGAGTCGGTGGAAGAAGATTGGAAAAAATTTAAAGACTATTTACAGAAATACTGTAAAATGAATGAATGTTAGAAAAATGTTGGAATGAAGTTATATGGCTTTAGTAGAAATGTTATAAGGAATTAAGTACAGATAGATTAATAGAGCATTAAAGGAAAAATAAGGTTAGAATGAGTTAAGATAATTATAGGATAGAAAACAGAGGAAGATGGACAGGAATTGCTGAAATAATTAACAGAAGTGGAATACAAAAAGGGAGGTGTGAGGAGGTCATGGAAATAAGTGAATGAAAGATGGGATAATGAAATTGTTTGATTTGTGTTATTGTTTTTGTTTTGTTTTGTTAATTTAATGTATTGCATTGTATTGTCTTTTTAGTGTTTAAGTTTTTGGAAAAATAATAATTTTTTTTTTTTTTTAAAAAGAGCTGTCCTCAGCCCCATGGAGTCAGTGTCTATGCATTATGGGGTGGGGTTGGGGGTTTAAGCATGTTCTCTAGAGCTTGGGAGATGAATGTGGCAAGCCGTGGTCATCCCCTGAGCTGAACTGAAGGTAATCAAGCCTCTACAATAATTGCATCCACACTATATGTTTAAAGCACTCTATATATCATACCCTCGAACATTTCTCAGATGGAATTAGGGACATCTTTTGCTCAGCCTCAGCTAACCCTCCTTGTGGCGTTTGCCCTCCTAGGTGACATCATGCTGGGTCATAAGGAAAGGGTTAAATGAGTGTGAAGTGATTGGCTAGTGGGAACCCAAGGGGAGGCGTTAGAGTTAGAGTTGTTGAGAGTCAGTCGGGTGTTAGAGAAAGGAGAGTGAGGATACGTCTGTGGGTTGGGATAGTTTGATGTGAGAGAGAGAATCTGTTATGAGGAGTCAGATAGACAGTTGGGATAATTAGTTAGAAGTTACTAGGAAGGTATAGGCCGGTAAGAACCTAAGATTAAGAAACTGACAAAAAAAATTATCTGAAACCATAAACTTGTTAAGGCTTATAAAATAAACTTGTTTATTTGGTTTAATGTTAACAACTGTCTGGACTCTGTGTGTACCCGAGAGAAATGGGTTGGTGGCAGCGGGGAAGCAATCACAGTGGTGGCACAGGGATCAATAGATCGTCAAACGTCCAGGGACCCTGTGTGATCGCCACACTCTTCAACCCCCCCATTTTTTGTCATTCCCCCCTGTGGCGTTCATACGGAGCCCCTGGTCATTTCACGGACTATAAACCTGTACACTACTAATCCGCTGCCACCAACCAGGTTCTCCCCGGTAAAAAACTTAGTCTCAGTTGGGTTCTCAAGATAATAACAAAGATTGTTGTTTGTTGCAAACACAAATAAACTTTAAATGCATTCAAAACACTGTTACCCTTTACCCTCCTAGTCTTATTTTACCCTGTCTCTAAATCTTCTACCTCCCCTCACACAAGAACCAACTGCACTAACTGTCTCTCTATTTCCATCTGTCTTTCAACTGCTTTTTCCCAACTGTCTAAACCTCTGGCTAAGCCTTTTAAAAACAGGTAGGCTCCGCCTCTGGCTTTTCTATTGGTCTACTATTAACCCTTTCTCCCCCTGTACAGGCATTTCCAAAAGAACGGGCAAATGCCACACCCCCCACAGAGCATTTCCTGTCAAAAGAAGGGTGAGCGCCACCACCACTAGACCAAGGGGACACAGCACACACACCCTCAAACCAACCTGAGAAATCTCCTTACAGACCCTCCAAGTGTCCCTGTTTTCCAGGGACAGTCTCGGATTTACAGAAGCCACCCCGGTTTCTGATTTGATCCCGGAAGATCCCGCTTTTCCTTACGACGTCCCTATTTTCATCAGAAAAATGTTGGAGGGTATCAGGGACTGGGCAGAGGAGGAATGGTGGAGACCGCCTCTCCATCCTGACCCTTCCAGGGAGGAGGAAGAGGAAGACAGTATAGATTGACAACAGGGGTTTGAGGGCGGCCGCAGCTCAGAGGCAGATGAGGGGGAAAGTTGGGAAATCATGGGAGAGCCAGAACAGCCAGCTAACACATTGTCATTAGAAAGCATTTCAGACCCACCATCTCTCAGAACCCGGCAAGCCTTAAAAGTAGGAGAGCAAAGAGCTCAAAGACAGAGGGCACATATTCCTGGCTCCTTATCTTCTACTTCTTGGTTATTTTTTCAAATACAGTGAAAAAGCTGCTATAGAGTTGAGAAAGGAAATGTGGTTGTATGAATCAGTCCCAAAGTCACACATGAAGTTGATCATTTGATGAATGTATATGTATTGGCCTCAACTTGATGGGTTAAAAACTGGCAAACCAATCTAAAACTTCTCCCCAACAGTAAAAGCTAATATATCCCCCAAATAAAACTATTCGTCACCCGTTATGGAGATCCATCCTGACAGTGCTGAGATGCAGTCTGACTGTTAACTGTTTTTCACTTTACCAAGACTTAAAGCATATCCCCTTTGTGACATCACACATGACATCAGAATGTCAGTTTGCATTCAACTTAGACTATCTCCATGCCAACAGCAATGGCCAGTAAACTTCTGCAGCCAGGTAACCATCATCCTGAGTACCCAGTTGTTTCTATCTAGACTATAGGATGATTCTTTTTTTGCTCTTGTAATCAAAGCCTGAAGTAGAGCTGTGTATAATCCGAAAATCCACTATTAAAGAAAACTAATCATCAGGTATAGTATCCCAGTAGTGAGGTATGGAAGTGAGAGCTGGACCATAAAGAAGGCTGATCACCGAAGAATTGATGCTTTTGAATTATGGTGCTGGAGGAGACGCTTGAGAGTCGCATGGACTGCAAGAAGATCAAACCTATCCATTCTTAAGGAAATCAGCCCTGAGTGCTCACTGGAAGGACAGATTGTGAAGCTGAGGCTCCAATACTTTGGCCACCGCATGAGAAGAGAAGACTCCCTGGAAAAGACCCTGATGTTGGGAAAGATGGAGGGCACAAGGAGAAGGGGACAACAGAGGACGAGATGGTTGGACAGTGTTCTCGAAACTACCATCATGAGTTTGACCAAACTGCGGGAGGCAGTGGAAGACAGGAGTGCTTGGCGTGCTCTGGTCCATGGGGTCATGAAGAGTCGGACACGACTAAACGGCTAAACAACAACAACAATTGTCAGGGACTGGGCAGAAGAGGAATGGCGGAGACCGACTCCCCATCCTGACCCTGCCAGGGAGGAGGAAGAGGAAGACAGTATAGGCTTACAACAGGGGTTCGAGGAAGGTCACAGCTCAGAGGTAGATGAGAGGAAATGTTGGGAAATCATGGGAGAGCCAGAACAACACCCAGCTGACATATTGTCATTAGAAAGCATCTCAGACCCTCCATCTCCCAGAACCCGGCAAGCCTTAAAAGTAGGAGAGCAAAGAGCTCAAAGACAGAGGGCACATAGCAGCACCCGTAGAGGAGGTGATGATGATGATGAATTAGGAAGTGGGAGAGGCGGAGGGTGGAGATTCACTTAGGACAACGCCGTTATCCAAGAGGCTGGGTTCTCTAGCCTCTCTCTATAAAGATTGAAATTAAAAAAAGGACAGTAAGAAACTTTTCCTTGTCTTTATACTTTCCTAGGCAACCAGCCTGGACCCAGTGACAGCATCCTGGCAGAGGGTATGTCCTTAATCCCAACTTGTTTTATTTTATTCTCTGGTAGATTTACAAAAAGAAAAGCACACACCGATACAGTGGTACCTCGGGTTACAGACACTTCAGGTTACAGACTCTGCTAACCCAGAAATAGTACCTTGGGTTAAGAACTTTGCTTCAGTATGAGAACAGAAATCCCACGGCAGTGGTGGCGCAAGGTCCCATTAGCGAAAGTGGTGCTTCAGGTTGAGAACAGTTTCAGGTTAAGAACGGACCTCCAGAATGAATTAAGTTCTTAACCCAAGGTACCACTGTAAATCAATTTTAGAAAGGGGCAAGATTAGATGCAGATGCACAAAGCATTTTTTCTTTTCTTTTTTAAAAACAGAGTCTCCTTGCACTCCACTCTGCTTCCTCCTTTCTTCCCACCCAGGGTGGCCCTGCCCTCTGCCTGCCCCTCACAGGCAGCCCGTCGAGTGGGGCTGGGCCTCGGTCTTGCCAGCAGTCGCCTTTCCTCCTCCTGGTCTGTTCTCCAGCAGCCAACACAAGCAGCTCAAGGAAGCAGGTTGGCAACAGCAGCCATGGAGAGTCAACAGGATGCTCCCTCGCTGAGTTCGGTGGCAGCAGCACTGGCGGGGGAAATAGGGACATTCCGGAACCAAATCAGAAACCAGGATGGCTTTCACAATTCCAGGACTGTCCCTGGAAAATCAGGACACTTGGTGGATATGTGTCAGGGTACTGCCATCGAAAGGGGGGAGGGAGGCAGAAGCATACAGGGAGCTTCCGACTTTGCTGAGCAGTAACACCTCGTTGGGGACTGGTGAGAGCGAAGCCTCTGGAGAAAGGGAGGGGGAAAGGAGGGGCGAAGGGAGGCAAAGGCTCACAGAGGTTACTGCGAGCCCGAGCACTGCTCCCAGGCAGGCTGATAGGGAAACAGACATGCAGCTTCCATCACCTAGTTTTCGCAAGGGAGTCAAACATAAGGAAAGGAGGAGGAGACTGGGGATGTCGAAGTTCTTATGCTGAGGGGGACGGGGACAGGAAGAACCCACTCTCGGAATCTGCGAGTGACTGACACAGTCATGAACTTTGGAACACTGAACTGTACATAAAGCTAAAGGTAAAGGGATCCCTGACCATTGGGACCATTAGGTGGGGTTGCGGCGCTCACTATGAAACTATACACTATACACTATGAAAGTCCCTCAACTTTGATGGCAGAAAGTGAGGAGGAATTAAAGAACCTCTTAATGAAGGTGAAAGAGGAGAGCGCAAAATATGCTCTGAAGCTCAACATCAAAAAAACGAAGATCATGGCCACTGGTCCCATCACCTCCTGGCAAATAGAAGGGGAAGAAATGGAGGCAGTGAGAGATTTTACTTTCTTGGGCTCCATGATCACTGCAGATGGTGACAGCAGCCACAAAATTAAAAGACACCTGCTTCTTGGGAGAAAAGCAATGACAAACCTAGACAGCATCTTAAAAAGCAGAGACATCACCTTGCCAACAAAGGTCCGTATAGTTAAAGCTATGGTTTTCCCAGTAGTGATATACGGAAGTGAGAGCTGGACCATAAAGAAAGCTGATCACCGAAGAATTGATGCTTTTGAATTATGGTGCTGGAGGAGACTCTTGAGAGTCCCATGGACTGCAAGAAGATCAAACGTATCCGTTCTTAAGGAAATCAGCCCTGAGTGCTCACTGGAAGGACAGATCCGGAAGCTTAGGCTCCAATACTTTGGCCACCTCATGAGAAGAGAAGACTCCCTGGAAAAGACCCTGATGTTGGGAAAGATGGAGGGCACAAGGAGAAGGGGACAACACAGGGTGAGATGGTTGGACAGTGTTCTCAAAGCTACCAACATGAGTTTGACCAAACTGCGGGAGGCAGTGGAAGACAGGAGTGCCTGGCGTGCTCTGGTCCAGGGGGGTCACGAAGAGTCGGACACAACTAAACGACTAAACAACAACAACAACAAAGTCCCCACCCCCACCCCACATAAATGATGAAGTGGCAAGATCCAGCCTTTGGCAACAGGATAGCTTGCGAGACTCAAGCTAGATCGAGTCTTCGATTCCTGCAAGAGCTGAACTTCTCTGCAGGTTAATTAGCATAACACAATTATCATAAGTTAAATTAAATTAATTAACAGAAGCAAGAGGAGCTTTGCAGACGTTATCAGAATACAGAAAGACAGGACGAAAAAAGACATCACTTCTTTTTTTAATGAATATGGCAATTTGAAGTATGTTAATGGTTTTGCTTTCAGCATACCTTTAGGAATGGGACGAATGCTAATATTAGAATATCTGACCTAGTTTGATTTTCTTTAACTGCAGGGGTTGAGGAGTTCTAGGTCAAGGGGAGGAGCCTAATGTCACCTCTTTTCAATTTGGCAACTACTGACAGATATGTCTACTTCTAATCTCGTTAGAGCACCTGACTTCCCCAGGGAAGGTAACTGAGACCAACACAGATTCCACCCAGTGGTGTACTTAGGAAATTATAGAATCGGACAGTGTTTTGTGTGTGTGTGTGTGTGTGTAGTGAAGGTGTCCATTTTACTCTTTCCCATGACTTCTAAGGTAGGCCAGTAGCTGAAGACGTTCTCAGATAATACGCCACCACACTCCCTTAAGTTTTCCCCACCCCCTAGATGGGAATTATTTATTTCTACAGATCCAAGCCAAATACTTATATGGGGGAGGACAAAGAGAGTGTTTAGTGTACCCCACCCTTCCCAGAGCCCAAGGTAGCTTGCTTGGGGGAAACCAAAATGCAGTATAGTGGTACTTTGGTTCTCAAACGCATTGGTACTGAAACAACTTAGAAGCCAAACACTGCAAACCCAGTAGTAAGTGTTCCAGTTTGCGAACTTTTTCTGGAAGCTGAACATGCTCTATTTTGAGTGTTACGCTTCCATTTTGAGTGCCACACTTCCGTTTTGAGTGTTACACTGAGGTCTGTCTGTTTTTTGCTATTTATTTTGCATTTCTGTGGCTTTTTTTCCTGACTGTGTGGAACCCAGTTCAGCTACTGACTGATTGTGTGACTGCAGTACATTGTTTATCACTTTCATTTTATAGATCAATGGTCTTGTTACATAGTAAAATTCATGTTAGATTGCTGTTTTAGGGGTTGTTTTTAAAAGTCTGGAACGGATTAATCCATTTTGCATTACTTTCTATGGGAAAGCGCGCCTTGGTTTTGGAACACTTTGGTTTTGGAATGGACTTCCGGAACGGATTAAGTTTGAGAACCACGGTACCACTGTATTTCATAAGAAATGGCAGGATAGATACAGGACAGATATGGATTATGTCTAATGTCGTGTGTACATGCTTTCCTTACAGTGGTACCTCGGGTTACATACACTTCAGGTTATAGACTCCGCTAACCCAGAAATAGTACCTCGGGTTTAGAACTTTGCTTCAGGATGAGAACAGAAATCGCACAGCAGCGGTGCGGCAGCAGCAGGAGGCTCCATTAGCTAAAGTCGTGCTCCATGGTAAGAACAGTTTCAGGTTAAGAACGGACCTCCGGAACGAATTAAGTACTTAACCAGAGGTACCACTGTACCTGATGCACTGGATGCAAAAAATAAGAGTGTGTACAAAAGGCAAAGGAGAACAGTGATTAGTACAATCAATTCCACCATCTATCCAAGTCCCCCAGCTATCAGGAACCCACGGAGTGCAATCTAGACCTGAACTCAAGACCAGTGTTAGAAACTGAGATATGAAAGCTGGGAGCTGAATGGCACCTTAAACCTAGGTTATGGGCGCAACAACGGAATGTCTCGGTGCGCTTTTTTAAAAACAAGAATACAAAGCTGAAAATGAATGAACTGCAGCTAAAATATTATGTTCATTTTTCACATGGTTTAGTCCTTCCCCTGCCCACCCACCTAATATTCTTAAGAGGGTCTCTTCTCCAGTCTTCAGAGAGTAGCTGGAAGTGGGGAAGCCGAAACAGCTCCTCCTTTCCTTCCACTCTGCAGTTTTAATCTGAAATCTTAGGTGTAGTACTGCACCCAGAGCTCAGAAACTGTTCGTGCTCATGAAATTCCCTTTCGCAAAATGTGTCTGGAATAATGGGAGTTTCGAACACTACTTGAGAGTGGGAGCAACTGATGGTCCAGGAACTTTCCTTGTCATTCATCTATGGTCCTTCCCATGCTTGTCTTTCCTTACAAATAATATTACACCTGTTCTGATGTCTTTGGAACATGAACACACCCTACATAAGGAAAATGCTAGTTTTGTGCCTTGGAAGATGGCAGTATGTCGACATACCTTTTTGTGGTCTCATCACCTACGAGGTTAATTTGTACTTTCAAATGCATTCAAATCCTGTTTCGTGATGGTTTAGATAAGTGGCAAGATTTGCAGATGCATAGGAACTTATGGAAAGAAGCAAACATGAGTTGTTGTTGTTTTTAAAAAAGGGGGCCAGGGGAGAGAAGCTGACATCAGTAAGGCTATCCCATATTCAACGCAACTCACATGTTGTCCTTGCATGCAGAAAGGATATGTCAGCCTGGATAGCTCAGCTGGTGAAAGTGTTGTGCTGATAACGCCAAGGTTGCAGGTTTGATCCCTGTGTGGGACAGCTGAATAGTCCTGCATTGCAGGGGGTTGGACTGGATGATCCGCAGGGTCCCTTCCAACTCTGCAATTCTATGATTCTATAATCTCGCTAGGGGACAGTTGTTTTTGTGAGGGTTGCATAGACATGGTTAAAGGTGATCATGTGCAGAAACAGTTAAGTGCCAGTACAGTCATACCTCGGGTTACAGCCACTTCAGGTTGTGTTTTTTTGGGTTGCGGACCGCTGAAACCCGGAAGTACTGCAACAGGTTACTTCCGGGTTTCGGCGATCACACATGCGCGGAAGCGCTAAATCGTGCTTTGCTCATGCGCAGAAGTGCTGAATCTCAACCCGCGCGTGCGCAGAAGCGCAGACACGGGTTGCGAACGCTGCGGGTTGTGAGCATGCACCCTGCATCCTGCATGGATCACGTTCACAACCCAAGCGTCCACTGTACAGTCATACCTCGGGTTAACTGCATGCTTTGCGCATGCGCAGAAGCGCTCTATCGCGCTCTGCGCGTGCACAGAAACGCCGCTCTAGTTGCGGACTTTTCGAGGTGTGAATGGCACCCCGGAATGGATCGTGTCCGCAACTAGAGGTACCACTGTACTGATATAAGAGATCGGAAGAGACTGAAACATAATTCTCTGTGTTCCCTCCCTCCCCAAACTCAGACCCTCCAAGTGCCCCTATTTTCCAGGGACTGTCCTGGATTTACAGAAGCCGTCCTGGTTTCTGATTAGATCCTGGAACGTCCTGCTTTTCCTTAGGACGTCCCTACTTTCATCGGAGAAATGTTGGAGGGTACGGAGTTATGCGATCCCTGATCCAAGGAGATAAGTAACTATGCAACCTTTAGAAGACATCTGAAGGCAGCCCTGCATAGGGTTAGAAGCCGCCCAGAGTGGCTGGAGCAAACCAGTCAGATGGGCGGGGTATAAATAATAAAATTGTTGTTGTTGAATAGGATGTCCCTATTTTCATTGGATGTGGGTGGCGCTGTGGTCTAAACCACAGAGCCTAGGGCTTGCCGATCAGAAGGTCGGCGGTTTGAATCCCCGCGACGGGGTGAGCTCCCGTTGCTCGGTCCCAGCTCCTGCCCACCTAGCAGTTTGAAAGCACGTCAAAGTGCAAGTAGATAAATAGGTACCACTCCGGCGGGAAGGTAAACGGCGTTTCCGTGCACTGCTCTGGTTCGCCAGAAGGGGCTTAGTCCTGCTGGCCCCATGACCCAGAAGCTGTATGCCGGCTCCCTCAGCCAATAAAGCCAGATGAGCGCCGCAACTCCACAGTCATCTGCGCCTGGACTTAACGGTCAGGGGTCCCTTTACCCTTTATTTTCATTGGAGGGTATGCAAACTGCGACCCTAGTGGCTGAATTTTTGGCACAGTGCTCATGCCGTTCTGACAGATGCCAGCATGCTCTCTATACCTAGTGATCTAGCTCAAAAGAGCCTCTAGCTGTTCCTCGCTGTGAGTTCTTGTTATCTGCACATCCTCTCTGGCCTCCAGAGTCCCTGCTCTGTGATTTAGACGGCCTTTTTGACTTGCAAATGGGACTCATTTCCAAAGCTGTGGCAGGGCCTTCTCTGCCTCCCTCCCTGCGCACGCGGAGAGCAACATCTTCTCTCTGTCGTGTTGCAGCCCGCCCCCCCACCCGACTTGTGGGTACCAACGTGTCATCTCGGAGCCTCGGGAGAAGCGAGAGAGAATCCAGCCCTCCCGATCCAGGCTCTTACATTAAGCCCTCTAACCTCGGTAGATCTGCAGGCGTCACACTTCATGGGAACGGCAGAGTTTTACATCCCCCCAGAGCCATCTTCATTCATTTGTCTCGTAGGTAAAACGAAATCTGGAAATTATTTATAGACCACTTGGGCTTTGACTGCGAGAATCAACCACGGATCAAGCACATTCGATGCTTTAGGTGGTTCTGATGAAGAGTTGTATGTTGCGGGCCTTTTGCCCTGGCTGAATGGGCATTGCTTTCACCCTTGTCTTCGAAAACCGCCTGTGGGTGCCCATATTAAGCTTCGCTGCACAAATTCCCAGGAACAGCATCCTATTTAACATTATTACTATGTATGCATGTGTGTATACACAGACAGACAAAGCCACATTTTATCATCCAAGTGCCTTGATTTTCCAAGGACAACCCCAGAATTATGAAAACTGTCTCGGCTTCTGATATAATAATAATAATAATAATAATAATAATAATAATAATAATAATTTATTATTTGTACCCTGCCCATCTGGCTGGGTTTCCCAGCCACTCTAGGCTGCTTCCAACTCAGACCAAAAATACACTAAGATGTCACACATTAAAAACTTCCCTAAACAGGGCTGTCTTCAGATGTCTTCTGAATGTCAGGTAGTTGTTTATCTCTTTGACATCTGATGGGAGGGCGTTCTACAGGGCGGGTGCCACCACGGAGAAGGCCCTCTGCCTGGTTCCCTATAGCTTTGCTTCTCGCAATGAGGGAACCGCCAGAAGGCCCTCGGCGCTGGTGCTGACAGTGTTGAACTAAGATGGATCAGTGGTCTGAATCAGTACAAGGCGGCTCCTCTGTTCCTAAGAAGTCACGGGCTTCTTGTTGTCTCCTAGTCAATTATGGACCATTTAATGTATGGCTGCTCTGCTGCTCTGCATGCAGTAAGTTGCAAAGACACAAATCACAGCATTTCCATATGCATAGGGCAGCACAAATCCTTGAACACACCCTATCAGGCATGCATACAGAGTGGCGTTCTCGAGTGATCTCCTAATTCTATCTGAAATCACCACGTTTCTCCTAGGCAGCTCCAGATCAGTGTGGCTATATGTAAATATCCAATCTCCTGATTACTAGAACATTTTGGATGCTTCCTCCTTCACACTCCCCAGCTAATTTGGATAAATGAGATGGCGTTGCATTATTTATAGAGCAGTTCTTCTGGCAAGGAGGGGGTGGGATTGGAATTTTACCATTCATATCTCATTCATCCTCGGAACTGTTCTACGAAGCAAATTATTCTAATTCTCACTTTACCAAGGGTGGGAAACGGAGGGCAACTCCATGACAACAATACTCTGCTTTCATTAGCACGTTGTGTGTCTGATCTACCGCATGGCTACTTGCCACTGCTATGCCAGCCCCTATGCTATGGCAGCTCATTGATACACCTTCTCAGGGACCTCTTAGATGCACCTAGGTGGTTATTTGCAAATAAAGGGGAAAAAATAAATCAAACAAAAAGATATAGACACAGAGTTAGCCCCAGACTGACCCCTGCGATGGTAAAATTTTGGGTGCCTCTAAGAATGATTGCACCAGGGACACGGGTGGCACTGTGGGTTAAACCACAGAGCCTAGGACTTGCCAATCAGAAGGTCGGTGCTTCAAATCCCCGTGACGGGGTGAGCTCCTGTTGCTTGGTCCCTGCTCCTGCCCACCTAGCAGTTCGAAAGCACGTCAAAGTGCAACTAGATAAATAGGTACCGCTCCGGCGGGAAGGCAAACGGCATTTCCGTGCGCTGCTCTGGTTCGCCAGAAGCGGCTTAGTCATGCTGGCCACATGACCCGGAAGCTGTACGCCAGCTCCCTTGGCCAATAAAGCGAGATGAGTGCCGCAACCCCAGAGTCAGCCACGACTGGACCTAATGGTCAGGGGTCCCTTTACCCTTTACCTTTTAAGAATCATTGCAGCTCTCTTAAGTCTACTGCTGCTGAAATGCCAGCTTCTCCCTGCTCAAATAGAGCGGCTCCAGCTGTTCTAAAATGAATCAGCTCAGAACCTGTTGTGCACAAATCTGCTGGTGGCTGCTGTCCAACCCTCAGCAGCTGCCCTGAGTTACATGTCTCAAAATTTCTCCTTTCCCACAGCAATATTCAGAGGTGGACTGTGTTTTCGTGCAGACAGCAGCACAAAGGTAGTGAGAAGTACGGTGGTTGTCATCAGCTCAGCAAGATGCTCTCTGTGATGGACCGGAGGGTCCCTCCCCCATTGGTAGATTCCCTTTAGTATAAGAAATATGACAGGCTGTCACCAGAGAAGAAGAACCTGCTAACACGCCTTAGGCTGCCCAGCTGTATCAGAAGTTTCTGGGTTCTACTGCCAAGGCCCCTCCCTTAATAATAATAAAAATAAATTTTATTTATACCCAGCCCTTCCCGGCCAGAGCCGGGCTCAGGGCAGCTAACACCAATAAAATTACAGCAATCTCCAGCCCTCCTCCCCCTCCTCTTCAGTCCAGTCCCTGACATCCTGGGACTTGTAGCTCACCCCTCAGAAAGCTACAGTTCCCAGCACTCTAAGCAAACTACCTACCCTAGGATTCTTCGAGGGGGGTGGACTTTGCCAGCCATTCCAGAACCTGGCCCTTTGCTACATCTCATGACTCCATCAGAACCCAACTGCTGTTTGCTGAGCTGCCTTTTTGGAATTTAGCCCGAATCTGCTTATTGGATCCTGGATGTGAACTTCATCGGTATTTCAGTCCCAGCTGTACCCCATATCTGGGCCAGACCCTTTCCTTATAAAGACTGCTGCCTAAAAAATGTATCAGTTGTGGACTTCCTGAGAACTGTCTTTTTCAAGATGCTCCATGTGGCACCGTTGATCGGTATCAGGATATACGGTTCATCACAACCTCACTAAGTCTCCGAACAAGCTGATATCTGGCTTTTCATCTGCCACCTCAAAAAAATTGCTCCATATTGAAAATATTATAGGATTTGCAGGGCAACCCTGTGCAGGTTGACTGTTTAGTAAGTCCTATTGGAATTTCATGGAGCTTACTCCTATGAAAGTGTGCAGAGGGCTGAAGCCTTTATGGTACTTTAACAACCACCAAAATATTATTTTAGCTTTGAAGCTTAGTCTGCAAGAAAGATCATTGAATGCAACTGTCTGACTCTGGGGCATGCATCCTGATTTATTTATTTTGGGGCACAAAGTTTGTGTGGAGGTTAGATGACACCAGCTACTTATTGAGCATTCATTCTGATTAGTTTGTGGAGAGGTTTTACAACCTTTCCCATCCTCTCCAGTGCATTTTCTGATTAATAATCCCTTCTTGCAAAACGTCCAATTTAGCTGGTGGTGTCAGCACTGCAATCGCACCTTCTGTGCTGCAAGGTTGTGAGATGTGCCCACCGCGGTTGATATAAAACCAAACCTCAGCTTAAGTGATTTGACCTGCAAAGGATAAGATTTAAAACACCCCAGTGAAGTTGAATCAGCCAAACCTTTCATTCTAATAGACTTCTCTTTTTTCCCCTAGGAAAGTGGTGAACATTTCCATCTCCTGCAATTATCTGTTTCTTTTCCTTATTTGGGTGCCTTGGTTAAGCTAGATGGGGGAATCATCCATGCGGTGATTGTTTTAATCCAGTTTGAAGTCATTTTTGGAGGGCAACCCCAGCCTACCTTCCTCTTCGTGCCCACATTGTTACATTCCCCTCTTTTTACTCTTCCTTTCTCCCTCGCATCCTTTGAAATCCCAGGACAATTACGCAAGCCACTTTGGTGCTTCATCCTGCTGTCTTTTGATTCCCTTGTCTTCACTCAATTCCTATGGGAAAATCACAGCATGTCAGTGTGTAACCACCACTGTTAGAAACTGAGATATGAAAGCCAGGAGCTGAATGGCACCTTAAACCTAGGTTATGGGCGCAACAATGGAATGTCTAGGCATGCTTTTTTATAACAAGAATACAAAGCTGAAAATGAATGAACCTCAGCTAAAATACTAGGTTCATTTTTCACATGTCTCCTTCCCCTGCCCACCCCTCTAATATTCTTAAGAGAGTCTCTTCTCCAGTCTTCAGAGAGTAGCTGGAAGTGGGGAGGCAGAAAAAGCTCCTCCTTTCCTTCCACTCTGCAGTTTTATGCTGAAATCTTAGGCACAGTACTGCACCCAGAGCTCAGAAACTGCTGGCGCTCATGAAATTTCCTGTTGCAAAATGTGTCTAGAACAATGGGTGTTTCGAACACTGGTAACCACATCTTTGCATCGGCACAGTAAATGTCTCTAGCAAGCATTGCAATGATACAGCTTTGTTGTTGTTGTTTAGTCGTTTAGTCATGTCCGACTCTTCGTGACCCCATGGACCAAAGCACGCCAGGCACTCCTGTCTTCCACTGCCTCCCACAGTTTGGTCAAACTCATGCTGGTAGCTTCGAGAATACTGTCCAACCATCTCGTCCTCTGTCGTCCCCTTCTCCTTGTGCCCTCCATCTTTCCCAACATCAGGGTCTTTTCCAGGGAGTCTTCTCTTCTCATGAGGTGGCCAAAGTATTGGAGCCTCAGCTTCAGGATCTGTCCTTCCAGTGAGCACTCAGGGCTGATTTCCTTCAGAATGGAGAGGTTTGATCTTCTTGCAGTCCATGGGACTCTCAAATGTCTCCTCCAGCACCATAATTCAAAAGCATCAATTCTTCGGCGATCAGCCATCTTTATGGTCCAGCTCTCTCTTTATGATACAGCTTTACTCTGGTCTAAACCCGTCTCCTTATTGAAGAATTGTTCTTTTGAATTTCTGACATGTGGACACAGCACACTATTCATCTGCAAGAGCAGAAGCACTGTATTCCTGCATCATAAGGCCTGTAAATAACTTGGGAGATCAGCTAGCTCTGTTGTTACTACCACCCATCCCCGAAGCAGGTTGTTGCAGTCACCGAATGACCTCACCGGGGATCTTTTTTCATCTTAATGCGTCTTTAAGTACATGCGTCCTTATTTGCAGACCAACAAAAAAAGATACAAAGATGCATGAAGCAAAGATGCTTAGAGCTGCAAAGTAAAACACAGACACGGCCAAATAATACACACCAAGTATGCGTGCTCACGCACCCATGTAGACTTGTTTAAACAATCCTTTATCTAGAGAATAACCCCTTGACTCGGAACTGTTTTTACACATTTAGACGGAGTCCTCTGAGCTGAAAGCAACTCAATAACCCCTGACCCAGCCAGGAATTCTTGAGTCTCCTCTCTATCATCCTGGGATAATGAGCAGGAAAAAGAAAAACAATGGCAGTGTGGCTATTGCAGGTCAGAGCTTGCAGTCTGACAAAGCAACATGTAATGATCTGTAAAAGACCAGGAACATGACACATAGGATCCATGCAAAAAACCTATGCGGTTGGCAACACCCATGTGATTGCTTAATTTGCACATGCTTCCGGTAGCGTTGCACTATGGAGGAATAGTTTCCAGGCTGCTGTGTACTGCAATAATAATTTAATAATAATAATTCCCCAGCCACTCTGGGCGGCTCCCAACAGAATATTAAAAACATGATAAAACATCAAACATAAAAAATTTCCCTAAACAGGGCTGCCTTCAGATGTCTTCTAAAAGTCAGATAGTTGTTCATTTCCTTAACATCTGATGGGAGGGCGTTCCAAAGGGCGGGCGCCACTTCCGAGAAGGCCTTCTGCCTGGTTCCCTGCAACCTCATTTCTCGCAGGGAAGTTGCCAGAAGGCCCTTAGCGCTGGACCTCAGTGTCTGGGCTGAACGATGGGGGTGGAGACACTCCTTCAGGTATACTGGGCCGAGGGCATTTAGGGCTTCAAAGGTCAGCGCCAACACTTTGAATTGTGCTCAGAAACATACTGGGAGCCAATGTAGGTCTTTCAGGAGCGGTGGTATGTGGCTTGGGCAGCCACACCCAGTCACCAGTCTAGCTGCCACATTCTGGATTAGTTGCAGTTCCTGGGTCACCTTCAAAAGTTGCCCCACGTAGAGAGCATTGCAGTAGTCCAAGTGGGAGATAACTAGAGCAGTTATCTGTGGGCAGGTAGAGTCTCAGCCTGCATTCCAGATGGAGCTGGTAGACAGCTGCTCTGGACAGAGAATTGACTTGCGCCTCCCTAGACAGCTGTGAGTCCAAAATGACTCCCAGGTTGCGCATCTGGTCCTTCTGGGGCACAGTAACCCCATTCAGGACCAGGGAGTCCTCCATACTTGCCCACACCCTGTCCCACAAAAACAGTACTTCTGTCTTGTCAGGAATCAACTCAAGCTGTTAGCCGCCATCCATCCTCCAACAGCCTCCAGACACTCACACAGGACATTCACTGCTGTAACCAGAGGCCAGATGCGACTAAGTCATTGCGCTAGCAGAAGCCAGTGCAATGAATGCCCACTAGTCCAGGGGGCCTTTCCCTCTCTCCCCTCCCCCATGCCTTCCCCATATCTGCTCAAGAGGGGTGGCAGGGCCCCCGGTACAGTGCATGAGGGAAGGGGATCTTGTTCCGTTTGGGAAGCAGAAATGCTTGTGACCATCTCTGAAAGGTAAAATGAGAAACTACCTTGGCAGGCCACCATACGGAGAGATGGACAGCTGAAGGATGCGGGTGGCGCTGTGGTCTAAACCACTGAGCCTCTTGGGCTTGCCGATCAGAAGGTTGGCGGTTCGAATCCCCACGATGGAGTGAGCTCCTATTGCTCTGTCCCAGCTCCTGCCAACCTAGCAGTTTGAAAGTACACCAGTGCAAGTAGATAAATAGGCACTGCTGCAGCGGGAAGGTAAACGGTGTTTCTGTGTGCTCTGGTTTCCATCACAATGTCCCGTTGCACCAGAAGTGGTTTAGTCCTGCTGGCCACATGACTCGGAAAGCTGTCTGTGGACAAATGTCGGCTCCCTCAGTCTGAAAGCGAGATGAGCGCCGCAACCCATAGTCGCCTTTTTAGATCCTGTTTGTTTGTAGCATGATGAGAGGGCTGTGATGTCTTGTTCTATTTTGCTAATTTTTGAGGAGGTTTGTTTTTTAAAGAATGCTTTCTCTTTTATGCAAGCTCCTCTGGTGACCGCTTTCATTGCGTCCCATAGGAGGGGGGTTGTTATATTGGCTACATCATTTCCCTTGAAGTAGTTTTGGAGAGTTTTTGTGAGACTCTCTCTAATTTGTTTGCTTGCAGTTAGGATGGGACTGAAGGCCCATGATGGGGTGGTTTGTGTTCCTTCTCCTATTTTAACAGTGACTTCTACTGGGGCGTAATCTGTGATTTTAATGTTACCCATGGTGGCGATCACACAGGGTCCCCGGACGTATTGGCCCTGTGCCTCCACTGTGATTGCTTTCTTCGCTGCCACCAACCCGTTTCTCACGGGTACATGCGGAGTCCAGTCAGTTGTTAACATTAACAAATAATCAAGTTTATTTTACAGTGGTGCCTCGCAAGACGAAATTAATCCGTTCCGCGAGTCTCTTCGTCTTGCGGTTTTTTCGTCTTGCGAAGCACGGCTATTAGCGGCTTAGCGGCTATTAGCGGCTTAGCGGCTATTAACGGCTTAGCGTTTTAGCGGCTTAGCGGCTATTAACGGCTTAGCGGCTTTAAGAAAAAGGAAACAAACTCGCAAGAACTCGCAAGACGTTTCGTCTTGCGAAGCAAGCCCATAGGGAAATTCGTCTTGCGGAACGACTCAAAAAACGGAAAACCCTTTCGTCTAGCGAGTTTTTCGTCTTGCGAGGCATTCATCTTGCGGGGCACCACTGTATAGGCATGAACAAGCTTATGGTTTCAGTTAATTTTTCTTGTCAGTTTCTTAATCTTAGTTCCTTAACTGTCCTATTCGTTCCTAACAACTTCAAACTGATTATCCCAACTAACTATCTGACACCACCTAACAATTCCTCTCACTCTCTCACCACACAACTCCACCAACCCACAGACTATTCCTCCCTCTTCCTTCTCCAACTCCCCACTCTCAACTGACTTCCAAACAACACCAACTCTCACTCTAACTCCTCCCCTTGGTTCCCACTGGCCAGTCACTTCACACTCATTTAACCCTTTCCTTATGACCCACCTAGGAGGCAAATGCCACACCTATGTTCGTTGATTCCACTGAGGGGATCAGACCCTGTGTGAGCAGAACGCTGTCCAGTTGGGACACTGTACCATGGCGTCCAGATTGGAATGTATGGCTGGTGTCTCCCAGGTTTTGCTCACCCCAAATGTCATAGAAACCCCTGCTTTTTAGCATTTTTAGTAACTTGTAGGAGTCCCTAGTTGTGGGGGTTTCCTTCGGACGAAGGTTGCCCATGGCCCATAGTCGCCTTGGACTGGACTTAACCGTCCAGGGGTCCTTTACCTTTTACCTTACCACTACATTATGCTGACCGCACACAGCACAAACCCATGCTCACATTTGCCCATGGCTGCACACTCTTTCCTGCATGCGTGCTTTGCCCTGCTTGCCCCTGCAGCCGTGTTTCTCAGGAGGCCGAGTGGTTTAAGCACAACCAGGGAGGCGTATTGCAGGGCCAAACTTTGAGCCAGGGAGATGCTGCCTAGTGAATTATGCATGAGGCCAGAAAGCTTTTATCTGTGCGGACAAAGGCCTGTAGCCAGCCAGCTGGGCTTTCTGCCGTACCTGTAGCTTCCTCCCGCTTGCACTTTATCTCCATTCCCAGCTTGTAATTCAGCCCAAATATCAGAGAAGGCCGGGAGATTAATTTTCTCGGTTTGCAAGGCAAAGAGGTAGAGTTGATGTGTGTGTATGCAGGCACTACGCTCACTCTGGACTCCCAACCGCTTAATCTGCAGATGAGGCCTGCAGAATGTGTTGGGGAGATATATATATATATATATATCTGAGTCAATGAGGGGAAAAAATCAAAGACAATTTCTTGGTTCGGGAGGCGGCTATCATGATGTGTGTATATGTGTAACTGCACATGAATAAATGCACAGAGCGTAACGAAACTAACATGTGAATTAGTGCATGCATGCACATAGATATAATGCATATGCATTTTTAGTTATTAATGCATTGCAATGGCTTTCTGCTTACTCTTTTTCTCACTGGGTAATTGGGCAGCCAAGGGCCCGAGTGACTGCTCATGCCAATTTCATATTAGAACTGCCCAACCCACTGTTAGGATTACCAGCTTTTAATTAGTCCCTGCTTCTGCGCATTTCATGGTAGCTTGTTATGCAGATATTGGCAGGTAAACCAGGGGCGAACGAAGGCGTTGTGACACCCGGAGCGGAGCGTCGCTACGTAGGGCGCATGTGCTGTACGTAGTGACGCCGCACATGTGCTGTACATAGTGTTTTGCCACCGCTGGCACTCCAGTGCCATACGGACAGTGCTGGGACCCTCTGCTCGCAGCTGCAGCCACAAATGGAGGATCCTCTGTTTGCGGCTGTAGCGGCAACAGAGGGATCCCACCGTCATCCGTACGGTGCTTGAGCGGCACTGGTGGCAAACTGCAACATACAGCACATGCGTGCGACACCGCACATGCGCTGTACATAGCGGTTTGCCGCCGGCACCGGGATCCTCAGCTTGCGGTTGCAGTCATGAACGGAGGATCCTCCACATGCGGTTGCGGCGGCGCAATGGCTGCTTGCACTGCCGCGAGCCCCAGCGGGGTGCCTTCTTGTCACCCCCCAAGACATGGCACCCGTGGCGAACTGCCCCCCCCCCGTTGTGATGCCACTGAGGTAAACTCCATTCTAGTACAGTCATACCTCATGTTACGTTTGCTTCATGTTACATTCTTTCAGGTTACGTCCCGCGGTGACCCGGAAGTACCAGAAAGGTTTACTTCCGGGTTTCGCTGCTCGCGCATGCGCAGAAGTGCTAAATTGCGCTTTGCGCAGAAGACCAAATCGCACCGCGCACCTGTGCAGATACAGCACTTCAGGTTGCGCTCTTTTCATGTTGCGAACGGGCCTCCGGAACAGATCCCGTTCGCAACTAGAGGTACCACTGTACGTGCAACACCTGCTGATTTCTGCAGATTAAACAGTTGAGGGATAGGGACCATAGAATGGAGAATGTGGAACAGTTTCCATCGGGAGGTGGTGGACTCCTTGGAGGTTTTTTTTTTTTTTAAATGATATTTATTAAAATTTTAGAAAAAAGAGTTACATAAAAACAAGAAAGGCAAAAACAAAAGACAGAAATAAAAATACAAGAAAAATACAAAATACAGAATACAGAATAAAAGAATAAAAAACACTTAAGAAAAAGAAAAAAATAAATCAGTCTTTCCATGCCTTACATTCATATCCTTGTTTCTCTGACCTCCTCATACCTCCCTTTTTTGTATTCCAATTCAATTAGTTAATTCAGCAATTTCTTTCCCTCTTTATTTTCTCTTAATCCTTTAACTTAATATACTATAACTTTAAATTTTCACCTGTTATCAATCCATTTTTACATACACCTTTATAGCATTACTGCTTCAACCGCCTAACTTGGAGGTTTTAAAGCAGTGGTTGCTGGGCGCCTGTCATATATGCTTTAGCTGAGTTTCTTGCATTGCAGAGGGTTCAAATAGATGAGCCTCAGTGGACCCCTTCCAAATCTTCGATTCTATGATTCCATGTTTCTAAGGCACAGGAACAAACCAGGCAGTTTTATTCTCTGCCAGTTGGCAACCTTATTTAAAACCTTTGCCTTTTGCAGTAACCCTTGTCAATTCATGGTCATATCCTCCTTTCTGAGGCCCTGGCAATTCCACATGTAAACATCTGCAATAACCACACTCAGCTGCCGTAAACATACAGGTTACAGACGCTTCAGGTTACAGACTCCACTAACCCAGAAATAGTACCTTGGGTTAGGAACTTTGCTTCAGGACGAGAATAGAAATCGTGCGGCGGTGACGTAGCGGCAGCAGGAGGCCCCATTAGCTAAAGTGGTGCTTCAGGTTAAGAACAGTTTCGGGTTAAGAACGGACCTCCAGAACGAATTAAGTTCTTAACCCGAGGTACCACTGCACATCTATACTCAGGGATCAGCTGTTGCACTAGCGAGATATGGAAGAGCCTAAGCTAATGTGGTCAATTGGCAGCAGCACCTATCCATGCTGCCTTTCGTAGAGACTTCACACTGGTGTGTGTGCGCGCGCATGCACACACCACAGGCTGTCCTTGTTCATTAGCACTGATATAACTGTGTATCAAGCTCATACCTTTCCCAGCTGAGCCCGATCTGTTTCAGAAACATTTGCAACATCGAAAGCTCCAAGTCATAATTAGTAATTTATGCAGCTTCTAATCAATGTGGAATGTGAATTTCTAATCCTTCTGGCTTTGTGTCAAGAGAAGGCAGGCTTCTTTCGGAGCCCAGCTTCCCAGGAACGGCGGTGCAGGCTTCAGCGGCGGGACAGTGCGCATGGCTGCAGGCATTAGGAATCTGTTGGGGGTGTGCAAGCAGAGTCAGGCATGTGCCAAGCTGCAGGCTGGCACACAGACACGCAGAAGGGGCATGTGGCTGGGGATTTGAATGCCAGATATGCCAGCTGAGGAGATTCAACCATTCAGGAGACCTACATGCACGAGACCTGGTTCCTCCAGACCTCTTAAGCGCTTTGGGGTTGTTGTTGTTGTTGTTGTTTTAAACACATGGCAAGAAGTTGGAATTGTGTATGGTTGTCCACATGGCACCATCTCTTGTGAGCACAATGCAAGTATAATGTTGGAGACTCCAATGTATGGACTCATAGCATCCACTGCCTCCCAGGGCCTATCAAAGAACTTTGGCAACTGAGGCAGAAAAGTCAAATGAGACCTACTCTGCCCACCAAGGTTTGATGTGTATCTGGTTTTCCCTGTATCTGGCGGCGGGTGTGCAAATCCAACATTGCTGATGTCGCAGCAAAGCATAACTGTTGCAGTCACTCACGTTTTGCCGCCTCGGCGAACCAAATTATTTATGAAGCACGACAACGACATTCTGCCATGGAAGGCTTAGGGCCAAATGAGAAGTGGCATTTATCACAAAGCTGCACACACACTGCACATTTAAAGTGTGTCCCACTCTGCAGGAATTCTGGGAATTGTGGTGTGTTAAGACTGCTGGGATATGCAGATGACACAACATTGGTGGCAGAAAGTGAGGAGGAATTAAAGAACCTTTTAATGAGGGTGAAAGAGGAGAGCGCAAAATATGGTTTGAAGCTCAACATCAAAAAAATGAAGATCATGGCTGCTGGTCCCATCACCTCCTGGCAAATAGAAGGGGAGGTAATGGAGGCAGTGAGAGATTTTATTTTCTTGGGCTCCATGATCACTGCAGATGGTGACAGCAGCCACGAAATTAAAAGACACCTACTTATTGGGAGAAAAGCAATGACAAACCTAGACAGCATCTTAAAAAGCAGAGACATCACCTTGCCAACAAAGGTCCGTACAGTTAAAGCTATGTTTTCCCAGTAGTGATGTATGGAAGTGAGAGTTGGACCATAAAGAAGGCTGATTGCCGAAGAATTGATGCTTTTGAATTATAGTGCTGGAGGGGACTCTTGAGAGTCCCATGGACAGCAAGAAGATCAAACCTCTCCATTCTGAAGGAAATCAGCCCTGAGTGCTCACTGGAAGGACAGATCCTGACGCTGAGACTTCAATACTTTGGCCACCTCATGAGAAGAGAAGACTCCCTGGAAAAGACCCTGATGTTGGGAAAGATGGAGGGCACAAGGAGAAGGGGACGACAGAGGACGAGATGGTTGGACAGTGGTCTCGAAGCTACCAGCATGAGTTTGACCAACCAGCGTGAGTTTGACCAAACTGCGGGAGGCAGTGGAAGACAGAAGTGCCTGGCATGCTCTGGTCCATGGGGTCACCTAGAGTCGAACATGACTAAACGACTATACAACAACAAAAGACCGTTGGGACTTTAAGCCAAACTACAGGTCCTAGAATTCTTGGCTGTGTTGCAGGAGGTTATACGATGTTGTTAAACGTGCTTTGAGTGGGCTTTCAATGTATGGTGTTTATGGAGCCATTGTTTGGTCTTGCACAGTTCTTTTTTCTTTCCCAAACAGGTGTTGCAGGCGGAGCGTGTAAACTGGATAGGGACCACAGCATGGAGCTTTAATCCATTGTTTCACTCCCACCTGCTTTGTGGTCCCGATCCGAGTCCACACATGCAGTTCTGCTCTTCTCAATGGGAAGAAACCTTGGGCAACAATCAATTCTTCCCACTCATTTAATCCTCTCTTGTGCAAACCTTATCTTCGGACGTCATAACGACAAGTTCCCTTTTTTAAAAAAAAGGTTTACTGAATTTTTTCATGGCACAATAAAAAGGATAAACTAATCTACAAAGAATAATGAGAGATACTAAGAGAAAAGAGAGGAGACAGAAAAATAAAAAATCCTCCCTCACCGCTATATTTTAATTTTTATCCCATACAGAAAAAAGTGAGCCTTCCCAGGATTCCTCATTTCTCATAGCATCTCACCCTGTGAGATCCCCTCTTCCCCAGCTCTCACACAGGGTCCTAACCTTCACTTTCAACTGCTTGCAGTTCTTACCCAAATTTCTATTCCATACCCTCCAACATTTCTCCGATGAAGACAGGGACACCGTATCCAATAATAATAATTTTACTATTTATACTCCGCCCATCTGACAGGGCTGCCCCAACCGCTCTGGGCGGCTTCCAACATATATAAAAGCATAACAAAGGTAAAGGGACCCCTGACCATTAGGTCCAGTCATGGCCAACTCTGGGGTTGCGGCACTCATCTCGCTTTATTGGCCGAGGGAGCCGGCGTACAGCTTCCGGGTCATGTGGCCAGCATGACTAAGCCGCTTCTGGCAAACCAGAGCAGCGCACGGAAACGCCGTTTACCTTCCCGCCAGAGAGGTACCTATTTATCTACTTGCACTTTGATGTGCTTTTGAACTGCTAGGTTGGCAGGAGAAGGGACCGAGCAACGGGAACTCACCCCGTCCCGGGGATTCGAACTGCCGACCTTCTGATCGGCAAGTCCTAGGCTCTGTGGTTTAACCCACAGCGCCACCCACGTCCCCTAAAAGCATAATAAAACATAATAAAAAAAAACCTTCCCTATACAGGGCTGCCTTCAAACGGCTCGGGGGTTGGATAACCCTCCAACATTTCTCTGATGAAAACAGGGACGTCCTAAGGAAAAGTGGGACATTCCAGGATCAAATCAGAAACGTGTACAGCTCCTGTAAATCCGGGAGTGCCCCTGGAAAATAGGGACACTTGGAAGGTCTGCTATTCCCAATTGGAAGAAACCTTGGCCAACAATCAATACTGCCCCTGCATAACCGTCTCACCCAAACCAAGGCTTTGTCACAGGACGTCATAACAACATGTTGTCCAGGTTGCCAAAAGACCCAGAAAAGCTAGCCCTGAATCAGACCAACGCACACAAAGAGTTGCGTGAATCTACCCTGTTAAAGAAGGGGTTACTCGGAATGTAGGTCTGGTTTGCAATTTACCTCTGAGGATAAGATTGTTTTGTGCAATGAAACCCCACCCCAAGTTTCCTTTTGCCTTCTGATGAGCTCTTCCATTCCCCACCCCCACTAGGCTCAGACTCGCCATGCCTACATAATGGCAGCAGAATCTAAACACCCTCTCTGTACAGGTATATAAATCAGCGCAGCAAGACAACTGGGAACCAACCCCCAGGGTACCTCTGATAAGCCCAATTGCTAAAACTTCCCACAGATGAGAAGGAGCCTTTGATCTCTCTGAAGTTACCTCATCCCTTACGCAGGCTGTTTGTCAGGAGGCAAAGGAAAAGATAATGGAATGGATGCAAACGGACAAAGAGCGCAGGAGACACAGCATCCCCTGAATAAAGAAACACTCTGCAATTTACCTGTGGCCAGACCTGGCTGCTGCTGCTGCTGTGACCTGATTAAACCTAACACAACACAGATGGGCACAGGGTCATAGCCCCATTGGGGTCAACGGGATCTTCCCTAGGACAAGGAATGGGGACCCTGGGACCCTTCAGACGCTCCTGGATTACAGATCTCATAATGCCTGACCATTGGTCCTGCAGGCTGGGGGTGATGGGAGTTGAGAGCAAAGCAATAGGGTCCCAACCTTTGCTCTACGGGAGCCTCTAGGGGCCAAAACGCAGCCAGGTGCAAATCAACTTCACTGGGGAGGTGGAAAGGTAAAGGACCCCTGGACAGTTAAGTCCAGTCAAAGGCGACTATGGGGTTGCGGCATTCATCACCGCTTTCAGGCAGAGGGTGCCGGCGTCATGTGGCTAGCAGGACTAAACTGCTTCTGGTGCAATGGGACACCATGATGGAAACCTAAAAAGGTAAAGGTAAAGGGACCCCTGACCATTAGGTCCAGTTGTTGCCAACTCTGGTGTTGCGGTGCTCATCTCGCTTTATTGGCTGAGGGAGCCGGTGTACAGCTTCCGGGTCATGTGGTCAGCATGACTGAGCCACTTCTGGTGAACCAGAGCAGCACACGGAAACGCCAATTACCTTCCCGCCGGAGCGGTACCTATTTATCTACTTGCACTTTGAGGTGCTTTTGAACTGCTAGGTTGGCAGGGACTGAGCAACGGGAGCTCACCCGTCACAGGGATTCGAACCGCCGACCTTCTGATCGGCAAGTCCAGGGCTCTGTGGTTTAACCCACAGTGCCACCCACGTCCCTATGGAAACCTAAGCGCATGAAAATGTCGTTTACCTTCCCACTGCAGCGGTGCCTATTTATCTACTTGCACTGGCATGCTGTCAAAATGCTAGGTTGGAAGAAGCTGGGATAGAGCAACAGGAGCTCACCCCTTCGCAGGGATTCGAACCGCCGACCTTCTGATCGGCAAGTCCAAGAGGCTCAGTGGTTTAGACCACAGCGCCACCCGCGTCCCACTTATGAGGCTCAAAGGGCCAGAGCCTCAAGTTCATATATCCAATTGTGAGGGGGGGAATTGAGAGGTTACACAGAGAGAAAGTGGCTGGCCCAGGGTCAGTCAGTGAGCTTCATAGCTGGTGGGATTTTGAACCCGAAACCCTAGACCAGGCACAGGAAACCTTTAGCTCACCTGATGTGGCTGGACTACAACTCCCATCAGCCATGGCTATTGACCATGCTGGCCAGGGTTGATTGGAGATGTAGTTCAGTAACATCTGGAAGCCCAAAGGTTCCTAACCCTGGTTTATTCCAACAACTCACCAAGGTCTTGTCTTTCTTTCCCAGCCCTGTCAGCTGCAACCTGTTTAACTGGAGATGTTGAATGAACTTTTGGATACAAACAATGTGCTCTATCACTAATCTATGGCTCCTCCTAGCGAGAGGTAAAATTTGGTCAATGGGCCACCCAAGGCTTGCCACTGAAGATCTGGCCCAAATTTGAACTTTTGCAACCCGGTTGGTAAAAGGGACGCAGGTGGTGCTGTGGGTTAAACCACAGAGCCTAGGACTTGCCGATCAGAAAGTCGGCGGTTCGAAACCCCACGACGGGGTGAGCTCCCATTGCTTGGTCCCTGCTCCTGCCAACCTAGCAGTTCGAAAGCACGTCAAAGTGCAAGTAGATAAATAGGTACCGCTCCGGTGGGAAGGTAAACGGCGTTTCTGTGCGCTGCTCTGGTTTGCCAGAAGTGGCTTAGTCATGCTGGCCACATGGCCTGGAAGCTGTATGCTGGCTCCCTCGGCCAATAAAGTGAGATGAGCGCCGCAACCCCAGAGTCGGCCACGACTGGACCTAATGATCAGGGGCCCCTTTACCTTTACCTTTAACCCAGTTGGCTCCAGTGAAGCCTATGGCCTTACAGTGGTGCCCCGCAAGACGAATGCCTCGCAAGACGGAAAAACCGCTAGACGAAAGGGTTTTCCGTTTTGAAGTTGCTTCGCAGGACGAATTCCCCTATGGGCTTGCTTCGCAAGACGAAAATGTCTTGCGAGTCTTGAGAATTTTTTTTCGCTTTTCCCCCCCCTTTATCTAATCTGCTAAGCCTTTAATAGCCTTTAATAGCCTTTTAGCAGCTAATCCCCTAAGCCTTTAAGCCTTTAATAGCCGCTAAACAGCTGATAGCGCTAATAGCGCTAATCCGTCAATGGGCTTGCTTCGCAAGACGAAAAAACCGCTAGACGAAGACTCTTGCGGAACGGATTAATTTCGTCTTGCGAGGCACCACTGTACCAATGAGTGTAAGAAAGCCAGCCCCCGACTATAGTAATTTCCATTTCTAATTTATTTCTGGCCCCCAATGAATTGCCGTACCACACAATTTACCATGTGGAGGTGGGAGGGTGTCAGAAGAAGCATCTAGGAACAACTAATTAGCAAATATAAATGGGTGATGTAAGGTGGAGCAAATCAAGCATTATGGGGATGGTGGGCTAATGAGTAGGAGGAGGGTTTTCTCTGACAGATAATATTTAATGCTGTAAAGGAAAACATAATCCTCAGCCACCCTGGTGGTGATTCATTTAAAAAAAAACAGAGAGAGGGGGAGAGAGAGAGAGAGAGAGAGAGAGAGAGAGAGAGACTAAAAATAAGTTTGATACAACAGCAGCTCATCTGTTCTCCAGTTGGCTAGAGCACGTGATCAAAAAACAGATAGTGTCAGTGTCTGTTACAATCTGAATTGCACATGGGATACCATTGATTTAGCTCGCATGATTGAGAACCAAGTTCAGTGTGAATAATGTACAAACGATGCAGACAAGTAGTCGGGGGATTGGCATGTTGGATTCTGTGGCTAGAAAACAAGAATCTCTGAAGATGGAAGGTGCCGTTGCCAATCATGAGCTATCTGCTTCTCCCTTGAACCGAAAGCACAGAATGTGCTCAGTTTCTAGTGTTAAGCCAAAGCCAAGAGGGATGCGGGTGGCGCTGTGGGTTAACCACAGAGCCTAGGACCTGCCGATCAGAAGGCCAGTGGTTCGAATCCCCGCAACGGGGTGGGGTCCTGTTGCTCGGTCCCAGCTCCTGCCAACCTAGCAGTTCGAAAGGACGTCAAAAGTGCAAGTAGATAAATAGGTACCGCTCTGGCGGGAAGGTAAACAGCATTTCCGTGCGCTGCTCTGGTTCGCCAGACGTGGCTTAGTCATGCTGGCCACATGACCCAGAAGCTGTATGCCAGCTCCCTCGGCCAATAAAGCGAGATGAGCGCCGCAACCCCAGAGTCAGCCATGACTGGACCTAATGGTCAGGGGTTCCTTTACCTTTAATGGGAAGACTAGCTCAGTGGCAGAGCATCCCTGCCATCTCCAGGTAAGGCTGAATCTGAAAACGTTGGGCCTGCCTTTTTAGAAGATCTATCCCCATGCTTGACAGATATTCCCCCTTTCCACTTTTGTCAAGGAGGTCTGCACAGACAAGTCCACCACCTCTCATGGGAGTCTGTTCCTTGGTTGAACAGCTCTTGCTGCCAGAAAGCTCTTCCTGATGTTTCGTTGGAATCTCCTTTCTTGTAATTAGAATCCACTGGTTTGAGGCCTACCCTCCGGAGCAGGAGAAAGGAAGCCTGTTCCATCTTCCAGCCCTTTAGATATTTCAAGACAGGTATCATATCTCCTCTTAGGGTGTATCTACACACAGGAAAATCCCCACTATAAATAAGTCAGAAATTAGATCATTAGAACAAATGGAGGGAAAAAACCCCTATGTAAAATCGCCTAGAAATGTTTTCTGCTCTGCAGCGCCATCTGGTGTCACACTGTTATAACACATATAAAACGTTTTTTCTTTACTAATGTAGCTGAGTCCCCAGTCTCCTTTTCTCCAGGCTAACATACCCAACTCCCTCAACCGTTCCTCACAAGGCTTGGTTTCCAGAGGATGTTCTTGCATATGTATAGTATTCTACATTTGGCTCGTTTGGTTTCCAGTGGGCTTCAAAAGCAGGCTTGCCAGCTCTTCCAATTTGGCAGAGAGATACTAGCTGTTAAGGCTAATGACCTTCCCTTCTGCTTTCACTGTTGTTTCCTAAGCAATGTTATTGCCAATTAAGCTAAATCGCCCCCAAGGTTGAGCTAGGCTTACTAGATCAAAGCAAAAAAAGAGAGAGACAAAAAACACCCAGTCCAGTTTGCTAACAAGCACTTCAGCTAGTTCTCATTTTAAGATTCCTAAAAACCAATTTTTAGGGGAAGAGCCGAGACTCAGCGACAGAGCAAATGCTTTGCATGCAGAAGGTCCCGGGTTTAATCCTGCCACTTCCAATCAGAAGAATCAGGTAACAGGCTATGTGAATATACTGTACAGGTGCTGGATCAGTCAAAGTAGTCAATACTATTCAAATTTGGCCACTTTCCTGACCTGGTATGTTTCTATGCCATGGGCGTAGCCAAGGGGGGGCAGGGAGGGGCAAATCCCCCCAAAATCATCATCAACAACAACAACAAACATAGCTGAGGGTCTAGGCCCCCAACAAAAGGCCTGCTCCCCCTGACAAAAATCCTGGCTACACCTATGTTCCAGGTGCACCAACTCTAGGAGGGAGAGGGGTCATCAGCCCCCTCAACACTCCTTAGCCGGGGGCTCAGCTCCCTGAATATTGAGGGGGCAGAGGAGGCCGAACCACCAAGCCGAGAGCAGCTCAACATCAATGGCAGGCTCCTTCTGGGCGCGCGAGAGGAGGAGCCACAGCCATTGATGCTGGGCAGTGCTGGGCAAGGCCTCCTCCCAATGACACGTGTGTGTGATGTCATAGGTGTGTGACACACATTGCACATGTGACTTCACTCGGATGCTGCGCCTCTGGACTTCCACCAATCTTTGGTCCAAGGCAGGGCCTCTGGACGTTTCTGTTTCCCGTATTTTTGAGCTCTTATCTGACACTTAAGAGCTCTCAAGCTCCTCAGGTTTAGCAAAGCTTCTTTAGGAATCTGCTTTATACTGGGTCAGCTCACTAGTCCATCTTGATCTGACTGCCATTGGCTCTCCAGGTTTCCAGACCAATGACATTCCTAGCCTTACCTGGAGATGTCGGGGATTGGACTAGGAACCTTCTGCATGCAAGGGAGTGGGTAGCGCTGTGGTCTAAACCATGGAGCCTCTTGACCCTGCCAATCAGAAAGTCACCGGTTCAAATCCCCGTAACAGAGTGAGCTCCCGTTGCTGTGTCCCAGCTCCTGCCAACCTAGCAGTTCAAAAGCACACCAGTGGAAGTAGATAAATAGGTACTGCTGTGGCGGGAAAGTAAACAGTGTTTCCGTCACGGGGTTCTGTTGCATCAGAAGCAGTTTAGTCCTGCTGGCCACATGACCTAGAAAGCTGTCTGTAGACAAATGCCGGCTCCCTCGGCCTAAAAGCAAGAAATAATAATAATAATAATAATTGTCAAGGCTGCCTCAAGTCTCAGCTCACAAAAGACCAACGCCTGTGTCTTCTTATATACAAAGGTGTTTACTGCAGTTCATTGTTTGCTTGACATCCTAGGCGCGCAGCCTTACGTCTCTTACGCTTAGACCGCTGAAGTCCCCTCTGAGTCAGTCCCTCCCCTGCACCAATTTAAGAGACTTGCGCTGCTCCACCTCTTTCTCTCCTTCCTTTTCCGCAGGGTCCTTCTGCCCGCTGGGGTTTCGCCCCTCCTGGATTCCTCTGACGCCCCCTCCTGCGGGCTTTGGGACCTGGCCCCTCCTCCGGGCTCCCTGTACTTCCGCGCGCCTCTACATTTGAACTAGGCGCGCGCGCCAGACCTCTAACTTTCCTTTTGACAGTTACACTACTCCCTTCACTGCTCCCCTCCCTTCCGGGAGGGCGGCTTGCTCTGACCCCCTTCCTTTCTCTGCTGCCGGAGCTGCTTCCTCTGACACACTGGAAACTCCACCCCCTTCGCTGCACTCTGGTGGGGAGGCTGGTCCTGACGCCCAGCTGCCACTTTGGGATCCTCCGCTGGCCCCCTGCTCCTGACACGTCCCCCCTGGGGCTCCCTGGCCTTGACCACCGGCGCCCCCTTCTGGGAATCCTCTGATTCGCTGGAAAGACTCATGGAATCTCTTGAGTCATTGTCATCCTCTTCCTCGCTGGCTTGGAATTCCTCCCCATCGCTCTCCATCTCCTGCCTACCCTGTGCCTCTCTCCCTGAACCCCTGACATCCATCCCCCTCGAAGCCCCCCTTCCCCCTCCCGCTGCTCGGGCGCAGGTTCCGGGAGCTTCGTTGTAGCGGGGTAGATGCTGGATACAGTTCGTCGACGTCGATCTCCTCTGCTTCCAGTTCAGTGTAGGAGTGCTCGAAACCGGGGTCCTCCCCCAACACATCCAAACCCTTCCCTCCCCGTTACTTCCGGCGAAGCTGCTTGCCAAGGCCCCCTTCGCCACCCCACTTCTGGTTGATCGTCCCACCAATAAGAGCGGTCCGTGTCCACCCCCGAGCACGATCCCCTTGGAGGGCTCGATTGCGGCGTGGACTCCTCTGCGGAGGAGAACCCCCGGAGGTGCTGCCTGAAAGTGTGGGGGTAAAGCCAGTCGTCAAAATACTCCGCTGGCATGGGCCTGTGTGGGAAGAGTGCATGGAACTCGTCCTTAAGAAAAGGTTCCTCCAGAGCATAATCTGGCACCCAACTGTTGGCGCTGGCCGGGGTACCTTCCCTGGCGAGGAGGTATTCCACTCCCTCCTCCCCCCATCTCGAGTCCAGAATTTCCGTGACCTCGTTGAGTGTCGGGGTCCTCGGTGACTTCCCCCCCCCCTGGTGACTTTCTATGTGGGTCTGGTGCCGTCCCTGGCTCCTGGAATCTGTGTGGGGCCTTGTAGGGTGTAAGCACCGACCTATGAAAGACCGGGTGCATTCGGGAATCCTCTGGGAGGGTCAACCGTAAAGCTACGGGATTGATCCTGCCCTCAACTTGGTATGGCCCTAGCTGTTTGTGTCCTAGCTTCTTCTTAGCTAACGACTTGGCCGGCACCGCCTGGGCTGCTAACCATACCCAGTCCCCCACCTGGATGTCTTCTCCTGCCCTCCTTTCTCTGCTGCCGGAGCTGCTTCCTCTGACACACTGGAAACTCCACCCCCTTCGCTGCACTCTGGTGGGGAGGCTGGTCCTGACGCCCAGCTGCCACTTTGGGATCCTCCGCTGGCCCCCTGCTCCTGACACGTCCCCCCTGGGGCTCCCTGGCCTTGACCACCGGCGCCCCCTTCTGGGAATCCTCTGATTCGCTGGAAAGACTCATGGAATCTCTTGAGTCATTGTCATCCTCTTCCTCGCTGGCTTGGAATTCCTCCCCATCGCTCTCCATCTCCTGCCTACCCTGTGCCTCTCTCCCTGAACCCCTGACAATAATAATAATAATAATAATAATAATTTATTCTTTGTACCCTGCCCATCTATTCTTTGTACCCTGCGGCTTCCAACAAGGATTAAAAATACATTAAAATGTCACACATTAAAAACTTCCCTGAACAGCCTTCAAATGTCTTCTAAATGTCAGGTAGTTGTTTATCTCTTTGACATCTGATGGGAGAGCGTTCCACAGGGCGGGTGCCACTACCGAGAAGGCTCTCTGCCTGGTTCCCTGTAGCTTTGCTTCTTGCAGTGAGGGAACCGCCAGAAGGCCCTCAGCGCTGGACCTCAGCATCCAGGCAGAACGATGGGGGTGGAGACGCTCCTTCAGGTATACTGGGCCGAGGCCGTTTAGGGCTTTAAAGGTCAACACCAACACTTTGAATTGTGCTCGGAAACGTACTGGGAGCCAATGTAGGTCTTTCAAGACCGGTGTTATGTGGTCCCGGCAGCCACTCCCAGTCACCAGTCTAGCTGGAGATGAGTGCTGCAACCCCATAGTCACCTTTGACTGGACTTAAACGTCCAGGGGTCTTTTAACCTTTACTTTTACCTTGCATGCAAGTCAGCTGCTCTACTGCTAAGCTATGGCCCTTTCTTAACGAGCTGCTCCTATTAAGACTTAATAAAATTGCAAGCACCGAGAGAACTAGCTCTAGTTCCTACGTTTATTGTTCTAGCCCAGGGCCATGACAAACCCTCAGCAACAGTATCAACTAAACAATGGATGTTGGCATCCAAAACAATATAGAACATCCATACAAGCCAACACCCATTATGTGAAAGAAAATACCAGAGGCACCAACAAGCTTAAATCTAGCTTGATTTCAGATTAAACTTCCCAATTTATAGTGATGTTACTTAACTTCTTTTTCCTGACCTTCTCCCCACCTTTTTTTTTTTTTTTGCAGCCAGTGTATAGAGGGCCCCTCCATGCGTTACAAAGCTATCATTGTCATTCAGAAGAAACCGAGCCATTTATGCCTGCTTGCTTGTGTGAACAAGGGTTTCAGAAAGTGATCTCTGGGGTCTTTATCTGAGGGGCAGGCTAACAGATAATGAGTGATGTTTTCCATCTGGAACTGCTCATATTGCTCCTCTACCTAATCAAAGAACGAACCTAGGAATTACAGCGCAGAACAATACAGTGGTACCTCAGGTTAAGTACTTAATTTGTTCCGGAGGTCCATTCTTAACCTGGAACTGTTCTTAACCTGAAGCACCACTTTAGCTAATGGGGCCTCCTGCTGCCGCCACGCCGCAGGAGCACGATTTCTGTTCTCATCCTGAAGCAAAGTTCTTAACCCGAGGTACTATTTCTGGGTTAGCGGAGTCTGTAACCTGAAGCGTATGTAACCTGAGGTACCACTGTATTTCGGGCCACAGTTCAGTGCCGAAACATGGACCATCTTACTTTCCAATTTTAGGAAAACATGTTCATTTATCTACAAAAATGCATGGAATAAAACCATGCAAATAATAAAAATTTCTGCCCTGATTTTACTGGCTTTGTAGCCATTATAGATGTGGTGGGGAAAGGGTTTGGGAACTTTGCGATTGGAGAGGGGTGCCAAATCTTCTGAAGATTTTCATGGCTTGGCATATCTATAGACTTTGGCTGATCGTCCCACCGAAAAACCTGCCTGCCCACCAAACTTGCAGTCCTGACATCCATTGTTTTTTTTAACCTAGGTGTCGTTGCCCAACACCAAGACCAACGTGTCACCCCCAATATCGTGTTGACCGGTGATGGCCTGTTGCCATGGCAATTGCTGTCAAGAACCTGAACTGGCCAGAAGGCTAACCGCTCTGTTTGAAGCATCATTCAGAGGCCCAGTGGATTCAGTTCTTGCGCTAAGTGAGACAGGCTCTTGGAAAACATAAGTGAGAGAGGGAGGCGAGAGGCTCCTAGCCCTTTGGGGACGGGAAACAAGCAGGCTCTGCAGCTTTACTCCTGCTTTGTTTTTTGATCTCGCAAGTAACATTTCAGCCTCTCGCTGTTCAGCTCGCTGGAGCCGGCACGGGGCTGTGGGGCCCCCAGGAGGGCCGCGAATCAAATATTCCTTCTCTACTCTGGCAGCGATATTGCCAATGACAGAAAATGCATTGCTCTAATCTTTTCCCATTTTACTCATCTGCTACAGGATCTGACCTCCCTTAACAGCTTTGAAGGCTGTGCCAAGCAGAGGCGGCAGCAGGGCTGGCTGAGAACAGAGGCCCAGGAACAGCTGCCACCGCATGGAGGAGACGAAGGATTCCCTCATCAACAGCCTCACACACCCCAGCCCTATGGCTCTAGGTTTTCTGCTCAGTCAACGAGTTAAATTTGTGCTCATTGAAATGGCTGAACTCAGAGATAGCCATTTGGCCACTGGTGAGCTCCATCTGGCCGCAATATTTTTTTCCTTTTTTGTCTAGTCCATAAAAGTCTGGAGTTTTGCGGGATGTCTGACTCCGTATCGCGGCAGCCATGTCTTCCTTTTATTAGGAGCCTCCTTCCCCAAACCTAGCCTCTAGACACTCTGTAAGGTAAAGGTAAAGAGACCCCTGACTGTTAGGTCCAGTCGCGGACGACTCTGGGGTTGCGGCGCTCATCTCCCTTTATTGGCCGAGGGAGGTGGCGTACAGCTTCCGGGTCATGTGGCCAGCATGACTAAGCCGCTTCTGGCGAACCAGAGCAGCGCACGGAAACGCCGTTTACCTTCCCGCCGTAGCGGTACCTATTTATCTACTTGCACTTTGATGTGCCTTCGAACTGCGAGGTTGGCAGGAGCAGGGACTGAGCAACGGGAGCTCACCCCGTTGTGGGGATTCGAACCACCAACCTTCTGATCGGCAAGCCCTAGGCTCTGTGGTTTAACCCACAGCGCCACCTGCGTCCCATAGACACTCTGTACTAGATGCTAGAAGAGATGAGGTATAGGTATAGTCTTCTTCTGCAGGAAGTGCTGGCAACCCACGCTATACCACTGTGGGCAGTCACTGAAGACCAGTTCCCCCCAAAGTGGGCGATACTGCCCCCTGGGGGGCTCTGGAATGATCCAGGGGGCAGTAGTAGCCTTGAATGCAATTGGGGGGCATTGAATAAAAATAAGGGGATGGTGGGAGCATAAACAAAGAAGAGAAGAGAGTTTTGAAAAACTGTTCATACATGTTTCATCTGCTGTGTAATGACGCTTACCGCCAGCTTCAGCACCTCCACTAGATCGGGCAGTCATGGTGGAGGTGATGGTTTTGTTCCGGCCTTGGGTGAACCCTTTTCAGCTTCACCCATCCTGTGGCTGCAGTGCTGGTCCCACCCCTGGGACAGATCAGACTGAGATGGCAGGCTTCACTCTGGTCCACCCCACGGGTTTTTTAATCTGGGGCCTAGCAGATCTCCAGGGGGGCAATTGAGTCATATTTTTTTCTGAAAAGGGCGCAGTAGGCCAAATAGGTTTGGGAAGCTCTGGTGTAGACTATAGGTAGGTAAAGGTAAAGGACCCCTGGACAGCTAAGTCCAGTCAAAGGCAACTATGGGGTTGTGGTGCTCATTTCGCTTTCAGGCTGAGGGAGCCGGCGTTTGCTCACAGACAGCTTTCTGGGTCATGTGGCCAGGACTAAACAGCTTCTGGCATAATGGGATCCCATGATGGAAACCAGAGCGCACAGAAATGCCGTTTACCTTCCCGCTGCAGCGGTACCTATTTATCTACTTGCACTGGCGTGCTTTCGAACTGCTAGGTTGGCAGAAGCTGGCACAGATCAACGGCAGCTCACCCCGTTATGGGGATTTGAACCGCCAACCTTCTGATCAGCAAGCCCAAGAAGCTCAGTGGTTTAGACCACAGCGCCACCCATGTCCCCTGTCTGTATAGTGTAGAGACTATGCATAGCTAGACAAACCAATGACCTTATTCAGTGTAAGGCAGCTTCCTAAATTCCCATGTATGATGAACCCTGCTGCCCAAGTTCCTGATGCCCCCCCATTAGATGCCCCCCAAATGTCACCTTGTGGCAGCTCTAGATCATTATTTCTCAGCCACATATATAACGGGGGGCATCATATAATGGTTATATGAACCTTCCCTAAGTGGCAGTGGATGTATGTCTCTCCCACAGTCAGCCCAGTGACCCCGCCCCCACTGGTTAAGAGCCCATTGAAAGCAGACTGAGCAGATCGACGCAATGTACTGAAGAAGAATTGTGATGTTTTTCCCATATGTCTTCCTTGCAACTCAGTCTATATATACACACACAAACACACACAGAGAGAACAAGTAGACCCTAGAGCTTATAAGAGCACTGTCAAATGCTAAGTAATTATATATGAAAAATAAGTTGAAATATACTCAGAGTCGCAAAGTGATTTCATGCTCTTTATTCAGCTCATAGTGGTGAGGAGGAATGAATGAAAGTCCCCTCAAAGTATCTGCTTTATATACATTATTTGCACAATGGGCTGCACATGATTGGCTAATTCCGGAATTCTACCGTAAGCCAATCAGGTTGTGGATTCACTTCTATCTGGAGCATGATTGGGTGGTTCCTGCCAACCAATCATACTGCTGCATTGTTCTAGGACCAATCAGACTGCTGCATTTTGGATCCTATTGTTCTAGGACCAATCAGACTGCTGCAGTTTGGATCCTATTCAACTCAGTTGAATGACATAAGTGAATGACAAAACAGAGGGAGATGTAAAACCGTGTAGCTTAATGTTTGGGCTTCTGCCTTCTTTGTGTTACTGAGAAAGGCAGAAGCCAAAATGTTTCAACTAAGCATTTATTTATTTTTTAGAAATTTCTGTTTCGTGATTATATCTATATTCACGCTAGGAAACAGGTCTCTTCAGGGACAGATGGGCAAATGAATGCATATGGAAATATGAGAGATGGGATACGATATTGAATGGAGCTTTTTGGAAAGGCAGAACATATTGGAAGTGGTAGCTGTTACCAGTTGCCACTTTCCATGATGTCATGCATTCAGGTTTTCTTCCTTCGCGCTCCTGGTCTAATGGGTGATCTCTCTTGCGCAGCCCAGAAAGCAACAGCAGTCTTATGCGCTGATTTCAGAAAGCCTAGATTAATTCATTGAATACAAGCATGTGGCAGCATTCTGGCTGGGGTTGCCAACTGTTTCCTGGCAGGGCTCCCGAGCCTATAACTGCTGCCTAATAAGCACAGATTTAGCCGATGAAGCATGCTGCCTATCGTTTCATCTCTGTACTAGCTTCACCTGCTAAATTTGTGCCTGGCAGGCACCTCTGATGTACAAACGCTCTTGTGAGAGAACTTATGAATTGCATGCAGTAAATATTCGACAAAAGCTCCCCACTGAGGAAGCTCAGGTCTACCTTTCAGACATGCAGGGGGGGAGAAGAAGAAGAAGAGTTTGGATTTGATATCCCGCTTTATCACTACCTGAAGAAGTCTCAAAGCGGCTCACATTCTCCTTTCCCTTCCTCCCCCACAACAAACACTCTGTGAGATGAGTGGGGCTGAGAGACTTCAGAGAAGTGTGACTGGCCCAAGGTCACCCAGCAGCTGCATGTGGAGGAGCAGAGACCCGAACCCCGTTCCCCAGATTACGAGATTACCGCTCTTAACCACTACACCACGCTGGCTGTGTGGGAGAGAGAGAGACCTGGAGGTAAGGTGATATCTGAAGACTGAATGAAGAACTATAGTATTCATCCCACTTCCTGCTTAAGTAGGGACGCTTGGAGAGTCTGTGTCTCCTTTGATAAGCCATAGTAGACCAAAAGCAATCGTAAGTGGATTTTGCTCTAGAATTCTTCAGCATATTTGTCAAAAGAAAGGAGGATGCTATCTATTCTTTTCTCTTTTTTAATTTTTTTTTATTCAAAATTATAACAAGACATATTATCCAAAAACACATCATCCTTGCCCCCGCCCCCATTTTTCCTCCCAGAAGTCCTGCCCGGAAGTCAGTTCTGTCCCCTGGCGGGGGGGACAGATAGTCTTAACCAATGCCTAAACAACCACTCACATTTATGTATTTCAATAAAGTTGTGACCAAAATTATGCCAAAAACCTTAAAACAAAAATTATGTGTGTGTTGTGAGTTATTAGGGAGGTGGCTTGGGGACCTCAACACGCAAATACTTTGGACCTACATGCTCTGTCCATTGAGGATTTAAGCCCCATTGGCTTGGAAGAGGTGTGGGAAAAATGAGTGGCACACTTGTCATCTTACCATCCTTTGCTACATTGCATCTGCTGTTTACCAAGCACCGTGCCATAAAGCAAGAATGCAGAACCTGTTGCCCTCCGGCTCCCATCAGCTCCAGTCAGCAATGCCAATCTGGAGACCACGCAGAGTGGCCATGTTTGGTCCAAGTCTGCTTTCAGTACAAATAAACCGAAGAAGGGAGAGCAGGGACACCTGGTCGCGGTCTTCCCCACGGCGGCGAGAGATGTATTGAATTTCTATTTAAATCACAGCAGTCATTTCTAAATGTGCCTCTTTACATATCCATTTGCACATGCTAATTTTGTGAAAATTGGTGCCGTCTCTTAACTCCTTTCCGGTGATGTACTCCCGTTTTGTTTTGTTTTTGGCCACTCTAGGGCCACTGAATAAATGGACTCCATGAATTATCTTTTCGTCCTGCCTTCTTGCCCATAGGTCAGGACTCAGTGGCAGAGAACACAGGAGCCAACCTCTAGGGGCTGAGGAGTCTTCATCTCCCCTAAATAAAATATTTGAGGGGTTCAGGGGGGCCCAAAGTTGATGGGCATTGCCAGTGCTTTCCCCCCCTAAAATAAATGTCTAGGGGTACAATGGTACCTCAGGTTACATACGCTTCAGGTTACATATGCTTCAGGTTACAGACTCCGTTAACCCAGAAATAGTGCTTCAAGTTAAGAACTTTGCTTCAGGATGAGAACAGAAATCGGGCTCCGGCAGCGCGGCAGCAGTAGGAGGCCCCATTAGCTAAAGTGGTGCTTCAGGTTAAGAACAGTTTCGGGTTAAGAACGGACCTCTGGAACGAATTAAATACTTAACCCAAGGTACCACTGTACTCTAATTTTCACTCAAGAAAATCACCATTTTATAGTTCAAATCAGGAAAAATAAATACAGTAAATGGACAAACCTACAGATTCACAAAATGTTCAGCGGTATGCGTTCCCCTGCGTCGTCCCCCCCAGAAATAAAGCACTGGGCATTGCCACCACATCATGTGATCAGTTATGCAGGACAAAGCTTACTTGGGCCTTCCAATATTTTATTCAAGTTGGCACCCCTGGCAGAGAACCTGTTACAAATCCAGAGTCATATTCCTTCTTGGGTAACCTTAAGGGGAGTTGGGGGCACATGTCAAGGGTGGGTGGGGCCAGAAGTGAAAGTGGGTGGAGCAACGGGCTCTTCCCTTTACAGTAGA